AACCTGGAAGCAGCCCGCTTAGAGCTTCAACACGCTTCCACGATGCAACAACAACGTTCCAGGCCTGATATCTTGCTATCTCAATCCGGATAGATAACTTACTTCTCATGGGTTCTCCATGCTCCCGAAACCTTTGCTTCCCTCTAAGCCAGCCACCCCGCTCGCGCCTCATAGTTCAGGTGCACCTGGCACACATCCTGCTGCCGCTGCGTGGCCTCGACCAACAGCATCCTGAGGAGCTTCGGGTTTTTTGCCGGGCTTGCGGAGCTTGAGGAAATTAAGAAGAAAAGAAGTACATCAATGACTGGGGGGGGGGGTGATTAATCCCCAAGCCACCAACGTGCCCCTTCCCTTTTCCGGATGCGGCTGGGACTGCGTGGATACCCACAGAGAGAGAGAGAGAGAGGAGAGAAAGATACAGAGAGAGATACAGCGAGAGAAAGCAGGAGAGAGAGAGAGAGAGACAAATATTGATTTGCGGGTGCGTTGCCACCTAGTAGTCTCCTTTTCTTTTCGTCCCAGGTGTGTACTCAGGACAGTCTGTGTTACAGCTGCTGTGCCTGGATGCGAAAGTTCAGGAGCCAAGTGATGAAGCGAAGTTTTTCGAAGAGAGGCCGAGCCAAGCAGAATGCGTGCCCTCACCCGTCATGATGGCATGCCCATTGTCCCGTACCGTCAAACCGTGTAGCGCGCCTCAGAGCTACTGGGTTTCGACTTCCGTGCACCGCATGGGCTTCTGTAGGATGCGCAAGGGGACAGCCTTCACTCATTATGTGGCGACATGACAGCAGGGGAGGTGCCAGGTCGAATTGATACATGCCCTGTTGCGTAGCCTTCAGCCTTGGAGCCGTAGCCCTTTCTTGGCAAACAGGCCTTGCAGTCCTAAACCCTTTTTCCTAAACCCTAAACCCTAAACCCTAAACCCCCTTACTGGTCCCGGCAAAGCCGAAGTCGTGACAGCCGCTGGAAATCAGCCCTACGATGTGATTCACTGGCTCTAAGCCAGCCCTAAGGATTCCTAAACCCTAAACCCTAAACCCTAAACCCCAAACCCTAAACCCCAAACCCCAAACCCTAAACCCTAAACCCTAAATCCTAAAACCTTCTCAAGCACAACGGAGGATCATCTCCGTGAGTTGCGGCAGCGTGTGCAGCAACGGGCCGGCCGAGGTCACTGATGAGGCTGTCCTGACTGAGGCCTCTGCTTCACAAGGGATTGAGGCTTGTGGGGTCTCCGGTTTAAAGCTCCACGACATATGAGTTCAGGCCCTGCAGGGCAAGCTCAAGAAAGCAGAATCGCAAAATCAGCCTCCAGCTGGACAATGGGCAAATTTGGCAACTTTCCGGTTCTATCGGGACCAGAATTGTTGGAAGCTCCCATCTGGGCACTGGCCCACGGCCTGCTAGAACTGACACATTTCTTTGTGACTACATGGAATGGATAAATGCTACCAGTTCCTGTACTTAAGGAAGGGCGCCAGGACATCAAGCAACCCACCATACTCCCTAGCACCCCGTAAACCTGCACCACCCTCCCGACTTAAGCACATTTCCCAAAGCAGTCGAGCTGCAGCACTGCAGTGGGAGAGCGCCTCTCTCATAAGAAGCTGCTGCCTGATCTTTGCCGCCCATAAAGGGTCCGTAATTTAGAAAAAGCTCCATCTTAGAGGACAATCACCTGCAGCACTAGATGAACCGAACAACGCGAAGCACCAATTGGGCATTTCGACTCTCACACTCGCGCAAGGCCGGCTAAACGCTTAGGGTTTAGGGTTTAGAAGGTTTGTTTTTGCCACCCGCCTAGCTAGCTGACCTTGCGGTCTTTAGAGGGTTTCGAGTTTCGGGTTTGGTTTACATAGGGTAGTATTGAGAGAAGCTACTGGAGGTCTGTGGCCTCAGGCACTTGCTGCTCGGTGTCCTGTCTCAGGGCCAGGAGATGGTAACACTCCTCCGAGCCATAGAGGTGTGGCAACGAAACCTTGGCCGAAAAGTTGACGGATTTAGGGTTTAGGAGCAAAAAACATTGCAGAAGGCGTTGTGCATGAAATACCACGGTCTTAGTCCGACGGAAGTGTACTAGGGCAAATTGTGCCCCCGAATAGCACAAGGAGGTTCTAATCGGCTCAGGATACGTGAAAGAGGTCTACTCCCACATTCTGGCCCTGTCTGCTCAAGGACACACGTATACAAGGAGGAGGGCCCTGAGCTTCGGGTCTCAAAGGGCATGCCGAGATAAACTCCTTGAATCGAGCATGCTCACCCGGAGTGTCCGCGAGAAGCTTCGAGAAGGCCGTGCCTTTGAAATCCGCGTTGGCGGAAAGCATCTGACTTAGGCATGGGCTGTGATCCTGGATGTTCAGCTGACCATTGAGCAGCACCGATCCATCACAAAGTCCCTGCAGCATGCGCCGGAAACCAAGGACCATGGCCTCGGCATCCTCGGATTTGAACTTGGCCGCGAAGTTCTCTCGCATGAAGCCCTCCTGGTGCAAGCTCATCGCAATGCAGCCTGCCGCAAGGAAGGCCTGGAAGCATGACAGCTGCAAGACCTGGCAGGAGGGGCCATGGACTGCCAGGCTGCTCAGCACCTCAACGACGGAGAGGACAAGCTGGCCCGGAATGTCCACGCCGGAGTCGATCTGAATCATGGTCATAAGCATCCGCGTGACCGTGTAGAGGCTCTGTATGACGTTGCCCTCAGGACCTTGCATGGCAGAGGTCTCCCACATGCTGATCGCAAGCATGCCGTAGACCCAGAGCCACACCACGCGCGACCTGCGATAGAAGCTGTGGCTTACATGCCAAGGTAACGTGTGTTTTTTGCCAAGTTGCTTCTTGCTATGTAGTGCTGTATGCAATTTTTCATTGTTGTATCTTATATGACTTTATCTTATCGTACCTTCTTATACGGTCAGTTCTCAAGATGAGCATCCAAACTCACCACTCAACACAGCCATGACCTGCTGGCAGTCATGGCCAGAAGGTGGCAGCTGACGGACCCATGTATCACGTAGGCGATCACGGAAAGGAAGAGCATGGTCCTGCTGGCATGCTGTGCTGCAGTCCAACCCAGAACAAACAAAAGACTCGTGATGCCTTCATGGGCAACTAGATCTTGAGTTGTAGCTACTGCCATCGTCACGGGTGACAAGGGAACTGATGCCTGGGGCTTAGGGGCTTTAATTCGGGTCCGTGCGCCCGGAAGGTGCCACAGCACAGGAATCGAAACCAATGCGCCATGGTGCCTCGGTGGCATGAAAAGCTACGCTTTCAACACAGCGTGCCGTAATGCCAAGGAAGGTCTCCGGCTTGGGGGACCTACATGACCTCTATTCGCGTGTACATCATTAGCCCCTGTGTTGACACCCTCCTGCGGCCTTTGGAGTGAAATTGAGCCCATCCAGGTTATTACAGGTTACGGCGAAGGGGATCAGGCTGCGCACACGCAGTACCAAAGTATACGCCCGTAGAGTGCTGCACAGCACAAGCGGCACAGCACAAGAAGCACAAGAATGACGGCGATTCACTAAGCCTGAGACCCGAAACCTTATGCCCCCAAGCCCAGAGCCCTAGGTGCATGATGCCACTCTGCAACTCAAAGTTCTTCTCGGTCTGGCGTCGCATCGCCTCATCCAGTCGCGGCTGCGGATCCGAGTGCTTGAAGGAGGCATAGCTGTCCTGGGTAGGTTAAGGGGATTTGGGGGGGCTTTCTGCGCAGGAGTGTGGCTTAACAAACTTTGGATTCCGGCTGCCAATCTTTCCCTTCTCGGCAGCTGGAGACGAAATAGCAGCTTGAAATAGCATGGCATCATCAAGGCTTTTGTCATATCTGTGGGTCTTGTCCACTGTGTATGGTATCCGCCATTGTGCCCCCACCTGTTCCCGTGGGTGTCAGCACTTCCTAACACCCCACTTTGTTCGCGCGAAGTTTCCAGTTTGAACTACCAAGCCCTTCCAAGTTCTGGGCCGCCACACTGGTTTCAAAAAAAAAGAAAAGAAGGAGAAGTCCCAATTCCACACAGGGCTCACGAACCCAACGCCTGGCCTTCACAATGGCGCCCTGGCAGGTTCAAGGCTTTGCACAGGGCTGAGGGCTTTGGATTTATGTTGGGTTTAAGGTTTAGGGTTTAAGGTTTAGGGTTTTGGGTTTTAGGGCTTTAGGGTGTTAGGGTTCTTGAGCTTTTGGGTTTTTGGGTTTAGGGCTTCAAGTCAAGTTCTGGGGAGGGTTCAGCTTTGGGGTTGTCTCTGGAGGGGGGATGGTGTTGGGCTTTGCTTTTCATGGGAGCCGATAGATTCACCATTTTACAGCAGGCCTCGGTTCACAGCAGCCCTGGCAAAGGGTCCGTAAACACGAAACCCTAACCCCTATAAATCCTAAACCCTAAGCCCGCTGAGGGAATGAGGCTCAAACTTTCCAGCTGAGTATCGTGACCGAAGACCAGCCAGTGCAGAGCAAACAGCGCCCAGAACCAGAGAGTCAGCGTCCTGGCGGGAGCGATGTCTTCGGCACACTGCAAGGAACCCTCAGCTCAAGAAGCAAACCTCCACTGACCCTCCGACTGCTTCGTCCTGGCATCTGCAAATTCGGCATCGAAGGCGTGCCAAGCCATGGAGCGAATCTAGACAGCGGGGCCGGGATATAAGGCCCCTTCTACACACACGCCTGAGCCAGCTCTAAACATAGCCGGCTTTGGGCCCAAAAGCGCGGACCTGACAGACCTCACCCCTGCCCTTTCGTGGAGGCCCCGCTCCCAGGATCAGCTTACTTGCAGCGAGGCCAAGAAAGTTTGTCTTGCGGGGTTCTTGTGATACTACGGGCCCTTATGCTGAGCTTCAGGTTCCCGTACAGGACCAGCCTGACCACAAATGATCCCGAATGTCCCTACTGAGAACCAAGAACTAAGCACCCAGAGGTTCGTAAGTATAGACCAAGCCCCCCCCTATACTGTCTTCCCCCCAACCCGGGAGAACTGTCGAAACCTGCCATGGAAAATGGCTTCCTCGGCGCCCCAGAGCAGAGGCTCCGCCCGCAGACCGCCTAGCAGATTCCAGTGGCAGGAGCCGAGGGCTCATGTTCTCATTGCGGGGGGTTTAGGGGTTTGGGGTTCAGGGTTTAGGGTTTAGGGTTTAGGGTTTAGGGTTTAGGGTTTAGGGTTTAGGGTTTAGGGTTTAGGGTTTAGGGTTTGAGGGTTCTTTTGCCACCCGCACTGCCCTCGCTCTCGGTTTGAGGGCTTTTTTTGCCACCCGCCTAAGGCTTGGGTTGGAGGGAGCGTGCCGGACTTCTTCCAGGACTGCCACTTCCTGCCTCTATAGACGTTGCAAGCATAACTGCAAGCCAAAACTTTAAAACTACACACAAAACTCCTAAAAAACGAAAGACTTAGGGTTCAGGCTTCACAGTTTGGGGGCCTTCAGGGCAACGGCCAGCTGACCCGCCTGGCCCTCGATTTCGCTCCACATTGCGGCGGAGCAGTTTCAAGACCGATGCATCGCCATCCTGCCAGGGTGCTGAAGGCTCCCCGGCTTAGGGTTGAGGGCCTGTAGAGTTCTGAACCTTCCAGAATCTACCTTTTCTTGGTGGGGTGTCTGCAAGCCACCCCTTGCTGACCTAAGAAACGCTTCATAAATTGCTGAAGCTTGAGTGCTCAAGGAATACAGCCCCATGCTCTCAACCCTACCCTGCATGTCCTTGCCAGAATTTGTCCTGCAAGCTCCATCACCAAACACCTACAACCTTGAACCTTTTTTACATCCATCCAAGGACGACTGCCGGGTACAGCACTGCACGGGCACCACGTTAAGCAGAACATAACAGACGCACACTGCCAGCGACGCTAGAAGCACTCGTAAAACCCTTTTGCAGGGCCACGGCCCGGCCTTTGCAACTGCCGGGCAGTCCCCAGACACCCTACTTCGACCAGCGCTCGTGGTCAATGAAGTGACTGACACTCTGACAAGATGAAAGCATCCGCCGAACATGTCAAGACCCTGTTGCTGACACCTGAGGTGCCAGGCCCAAAAGCCTGTGCTGCAAAACCTCGTTTGGCCCACCGACTTCTTGTTTGCCACCCACGCTGCTCGAACGCCAACGCGCCGCGTACCCTAAAGCAGCCTCGAAGCCCCAGGCCCAAGAGAAGTCTCCCAAGCACGCGCTCCGTCGCCACGATGTCCGCGCCGAGATGGGAGGCGACGATGGAAGGCAAACCTGACCCCCCCGCCCTCGGGTTTGTCTTATCGGTTCTTGGAAGGGAATTAGGAAGGGATGTACCTACTATAATCTCGTAAACGGAAACCAAAGGGGGGGGCACCTACAGCTTTTCTTCGAAATCTGTGTACATGAAAGAAACATGCTTAGTTGATATGACTAGATATACTTGAGCCTTTCACCTACCTGCATCGGTAAGCACCCAAGCCCACAACCCAACCGAACCCAACCACGACCTTTGAAAACACTCCAACCAGTTCCAACCAAGGCGCCCAACCCCGCGCCGAGCTCCACACCCGCCTGCAAGAGTCCCATGATGTCCCATGGTTCTTCCGCTTCTTGTTGATTGCTCTCCCGTCTTGCTTTGTGCTTACTACGTGTTGCTACTGCTAGTTGTCTTCCTCGAATGCTTCATCTTCTATGTATGATCATGATGAGGGGATATGGGGATGTGTATGGCCGCAAGAGATGCGCTTTCTTGTTGCACTCTGCCGAATATAGGCGCCGAGTTTGAGTATCTCATAATTCTCAACTGGCGAGAAATACTGGCAAAACGGGGTTGCGTCGAACCAGCAGGTAAGGCGCGGGCGTTTCGGGTTTTAAGTTGCTTTTGCCACCTGCCTAGCCAAGGTCTCACTCAGCAGGACGAGTGGGTAATTCGACAGCGTTCGTGACATGTCGCTGCCGACAGGCACGGCCTCTGGTAAGGAAGCTGCTGTCCGGAGGAGGGGACAGCTCACCAGAGGAAGCTGTGAGCAGTTCTTGGGGCTCAGCTTTAAAAGGCTTCCGGCGCTGGATCTGAGAGTCTGTGGCTTTGGTGCTCGGGGCCCTCCCCCCACAGAGGCCGCGTTGCAACTGAAGCAGTCGCCTTGAAGTGCCATCTTGGGGGGATCTGCAACAAGACGAGATGCTGAATCTTCACGAGTTCATGCATATCTGAACAACTTCGCACAACGCACACGTATTTAAGCACTTCGGGTTAGGATGGTGTGGCCCTCACACAAGGACAGCGTCCTCGGACGGTTCACGCCTTGAAAAAATGCGGGCTTGAGGTTGTTCGGGCGAACACTCCAAGAACACCAGGGTTTAGGGTTTAGGGTTTAGGGTTTAGGGTTTAGGGTTTAGGGTTTAGGGTTTAGGGTTTAGGGTTTAGGGTTTAGGGCAGAAGGGAAACCTTGAACCGTTGCCTTGCCACGCCAGCTGCGCCACCTGGGCCCAGATGGGAAATCCCGGGCATGGACTCTCAAAGGATGCTCTCATAGGGCGCCCCAAACCTCCCCCCAAAGGTATTCTAAGAATCGAAATCTCTAGATTAATAAGACAAGGGATATTCGGTGGGCGTGTTGGGGAGAGGGTTTATGCTCTTTCTTGACCTCAAACACTGCTCCGCAACCCACCCTAACGCCCCAGGTCCCCAAGCCTTGCCCGCTGCGCTTTGCGGGCGCCCTTGAAGAGCTCCTGGCTTCAGTGAATCTTGCAGCGAGAGAGTGAGAGAGAGAGAGAGAGAGAGAGAGTGAGAGAGTGAGAGTTCTACGGGTAGAGACAGGCCTTGGCATAGCAAGCCCATGGGGCCTGCAAAGGGCCTGCAAAGGGCCTCAGGCCCTCCCGAAACTCCAACTTCTAAACCCTGAACGCCCAACATCCCAAACCCCCCTCCCCTTCAACGCCTGAAAGGCAGAACATGCTGATAGGCCGCCAGCCTCATCGCCTCGCCTTGGCTCAGGCTCTCGCACGCACACGGCAAGGCTTCGGTACTTGGCAACCAGGCCTGCCTCCAGAGAACCGACATGACTATCTCACACCACAATAGAACAGTCAAAGACGTGCAATCACCCACGACGACAGCGTAGGGGCCCTAGGGGTTAAGTCAACAAGCATTTCGTCATAATGAAGGTGCCCGGCATTGCACGCGGCGGGCATTGCGACATGCAAGTACTGCAAGCAGCATGGCCACCTGGATAGCCACTCGGCCAGTACAAAAGAGGCTTCCCACAGCGCAACTCCTGCCCCGAGTCGCTGAAGTGTGGCCGGGGCTTGGGGCACACGAGGCATTGGCTAGGTGTATCTGGTACAGTGAGGATTGAACTTCGAACGTGTGTCTCAAGTCTTTGCAGCACCAAATCTAGTTTCCTCGCGTTTAGCAAGGGTGGTGAGAGCAGGCTTAAATGTTGTGAACTGCGTTTAGCATGTCGCGCACGAGGGCCGGCCACAGCTCCCTGTCACCTGCCGGTTCGTGAGCATGGGCCCTAAAGCCTGCACCAAAATGAGCAATAAAGTACTGGAAACACCAAATGCAGCTTTTTTCGCCACAAGGTTCTGAAGCGGGACTGCAGAACTCGGCTCCTGTGGTGCCTCCGTCGGCGCGCTGCGGATCGCCCTCGCACGAAGCGGCGTTACGGGAAAGTGGCCCCAACCCCCACTTGCCAAGCACAAGTCCAGAGCCCAAAGAACAGGTCAGGTCTGGCACAAACACCACATGAATCCAAACGACAGATCGTCTTCATCATCCTTCTTTACACGATTCAGGGCTTACGTCCCACCCGCCAGCTTACTGAAAATGATAGGTACGACGAACCGAACCAGCATTTTCCAAGAATAAGTTGCCATGTGCGATGCATACTTTCTGGCATTGCTGGGCCGTGTGTGACTCATGGGAGTAGCGGCTAAAGCAGGTTGCGGGGTCCCGGCTCTCCGCAACCGACTTTCAGGGTCCCACAGCCACGATTCTTCAACCGTGCACCCCAAGAAGTGCGACAGCACCAAAAAACCCACCAAAAAAGCCTCCAAAGGAACCTCCGAAGGAAACGGCAAAGTCGCCTGCAGCTCCGACTGTTCCCTGAGTGCGGCTGCACGCACACGGCGGCGCGAGCGCCCAGGCTGCCCCGGGGTTTCTGCATGGAGGGCCACCTCATGGGCAGAACCAGAAAAACTTCGAATAAAACCCAACCCCTATACCTAGCCCCGTCGAGCGCGACGAGGTTCACACCCGGAGCTGAGGCCCCTAAAGTCAAACCCTCAAACCCTCCCCAAAGCCCTCAAGCCCTCAAGCCCTCAAGCCCTCAAGCCCTCAAGCCCTCAAGCCCTCAAGCCCCTTTCACCCCAAACCCCTGCGAACCTGGAGGCCCGATAGCACCGGGAAGTCATAGTGGAGCTCCTGCTGCCTCCGGGTGTAAGAGTTCAGGGGGTTGCGAGGGTGTGGATGGTTGATGTGAAGGCTCTGATAGTTCAGTCCCTCGGGAGATTGTCGTTTTGTAACCGGCGCTACAGGCAAGTCAATTCCGTCAAGGATTAGAGAATCAGTTCAAAAGTTGTCTATGTCCTAGAGACACCGAAGCAACCTAGTGACATTGTGCATCCGAGTGCATCCGAGTGCTTGCAGCATTTGCTGAACTCACTTGACGTCACTTGGGCGATCGGAAGTCCACGCCGGCATAAGTTGCCAGCCCCCCGAGCTCCTCCTCGATGCGCAGCAGCTGGTTGTACTTGGAGAGGCGCTCCGACCGGCAGGGCGCGCCCGTCTTGATCTGCCCGGTTCGGAGGCCCACGACGAGATCCGCGATGAAGGAGTCCTCCGTCTCGCCGGATCGGTGGGACACCATGACGCCCCAGCCAGCATTCTGGGACATGGTGGCCGCCTCGATGGCTTCGGTGATGGAGCCAATCTGGTTCACCTTCAACAGCAAAGCATTGCAGGCGCCCACTTCGAGGGCCTTCTTGACGCGGGTTGGGTTTGTCACCAGGAGGTCATCCCCAACGATCTGAACGCGCGTCCCGACCTCTGACATGAAGTGCTTGTAGGCATCCCAGTCATCTTGGTCGAATGGATCCTCAATGGAGACAAAAGGGTACTTGTCCAGCCAGGCCTTGTAGTAGTCGGCCAGTTGAGGCGCGGTCTTCTTCATTTCAGCTGGGCTGCTTGGATTCTTGAAGTCCAAATCATAGGTCTTCCCTTCAGCACTGTAGAATTCAGAGGCTGCCACATCCGTGCCGATCTTGACCTTCGCGCTGTGGCCAGACTTCTCAATAGCCTCCATCAAGACATCTAGGGCCTCGTTGTTGTCCTGCACATTAGGCGCAAAGCCACCTTCGTCGCCAACGTTGCAGGCATCTTGCCCGTACTTCTTCTTGATGACACTTTTCAAATTGTGGTACACCTCTGCACCAATCACCATGGCTTCCTTGAAGGACGACGCACCCACTGGCAGAATCATGAACTCCTGGCATGCGAGGCGATTTCCCGCATGGCTGCCGCCGTTGATGACGTTGAAGGACGGCACCGGCATGACGAACTTGTCAGTATTCTTGCCAGAAATCTTGGCAATGTACTGATACAGCGGCATGGCACTCGCAGCTGCGCCGGCACGGCACACAGCCATGGACACAGCCAGAATTGCATTCGCGCCGACTTTGGACTTGCTCCACCCCCACTCATTCTTCGAGCCATCAATCTCTTCCACCATCATCTTGTCGATCTTGGTTTGGTCGGTGACGTCCAAACCAAGGAGCTTCGGAGCGAGAATGTCGTTGACGTTTGCGACCGCCTTCAGCACGCCTTCGTGCGGGACACAAAGGATGGGCTCCGCCATCTACTGCATGCTACACTATACTGGCATACATCTGCATACTGCTAGCATACTCTCAGATCCAAGGCGCCCTTTCCCAGCAAACGGCCCTTGTCGCCATCCCGGAGCTCCAAGGCCTCGTAAATTCCGGTGGAGGCTCCGCTGGGCACCGCTGCCCGGAACAAGGCCGTCCCAGTGCACAGGTCCACTTCCACCGTGGGGTTTCCTCGCGAGTCGAAGATTTCGCGGGCCTTGACAGCCATGATGGTCTTAGAGTCCGCTGCTGCTGGAGCTGCTGGAGCTGCTGGAGCAGCCACCTTGGTCTGGTTCTTCACGGCCTCTGCGGCTGCTTTGATCTCATCCAAGTTCCCCAGGTACTTCCCGAACTTGAGGGGCGCGATGGCGTCGGCACTTGCGATGGGCTTCAAGTCCGCATCCAGGTTGTACATCAAAGGGCGGCCCGTGGGGATCTCCAAGCCTGTGATGTCGTCATCGGAGATGCCCTCCAAGAACTTAAGGATGGCCCGGATCGAGTTGCCGTGCGCTGCCACGAAGATCGTCTTGCCCTTCTTCAGCTCCGGGGCGATGGCCGACTCCCAGAAGGGCATGACCCGCGCGATCGTGTCTTTAAGGCACTCTGTCTTGGGGATGTCCGCCTTGTTCAGTGCGGCATACTTCTTCTCCTTTGCCTAGTTCACGGTCGGGATAGTATGAAAAATCTGAACTTCTACTCCTTATTGAGTTTTAGGTACCCTTAAGCACGTAAAAAATCTTCCCACGCACAGAGTGGCGGGGTTGAAGTCGCTGTCCTCCTCGATGGGGGGCGGGGGCACGTCGAAGCTCCTGCGCCACACTTGGACCTGTTCGGCACCGTGCTTCTTCACCGTCTCCTTCTTGTCCAGGCCTGTGAGGCCGCCGTACCTCCCAAAAAGGGGGGTACCATGAACTAGGTGAGCTGTCAGAAACCCACAAAGTACGCAAGAACAAAGAAGAAGGATTTACGTCGAAGATCCCCACCCTGCAGGCACAGACTCCCTGGGGTTGCGTGCTAGACACTCTTTGGGGATTCCCTGGAGGATAATCTTTTCATGATACTCTTGGGCTGGGCACTCCAGGGTTACTTGGCGGTAGAGTAGCAACGTCACACAACCCTTGCTTAAATAAATTAAGACCAACCCCCCCCCCTCCTTCCCCCAAGCGGTTTGGGGAGGGAAGACTTGAGACACATGGGAAACAAATGGGATACAAATCGGAGATGGGAGACAAATGAGAGACGACAGTCCCAGACAAGCGAAGGCTTTCAGGTTCTGCGCATTCTGCGCACCTTACAAAGAGACACAAATGGGAGACGAACGCAAGACACAAGTTCCAGACGAGTGTCCCAGCATCCTGCATCGACACAACTTGGAACATATGGGAGACGTTTCTTCCAAACAGTTAAGAACCCCCAATTCATCAGGTGTTGATAAGGCTTTAACATGCTAGAGTTTTAAGCCCTGAGCCACGAAATAATCCCCGACATGGTTTATGGTCCATCTACCTTCTTTGGGATTAGAGTTGATTGTAGCAGTATAGGCTTGATACATCTCGTGATATTACACCCCTATGGTTCCAATTGGTCCCTCCAAGGTACATGCGTTCGTTGAGGCGCCAGCTCTTCTCAACCGGAACGAAGAGCTGGTCGGCAGCCTCCAGAGCCAAGTCGCAGGTCTTGATGGCTCGCTTCAGGTACGAGGTGAAAGCCATGTCCACCTGAGAGTACTTCTCAGATTTTAGGACCCCCCCTCTTTTTGGGGGTCCTGCTTCTCAGGATGACAAGGGCGAGGAGTATATAGGGTACCCAAAAACAAGGGACCTCTATAAGATTTAGAGAGCTACCCCACCTTGATGCCCTCCGACTTCAGCAAGCTGCCAGCGCCCTTGGCTTCGCCAAGGCCCTTTGCGGACAGGTCGACGTCAACCCACCCGGTGAACCGGTTGTCCACGTTCCACTGGGACTCTCCATGCCGGGAGAAGATCAGTGTGGCGTGCGGCTTTGCCATGGCGCCCGAGGCGTGGGGCAAAATTTACAAAAAGTTGCAGATGTTGTCCGCTTCTCCTTGAGCCAAAATGGCTTTGGGGTTTTGACGGTTGAAAGCGCTGAAGATGCAGAAGCAGCTAACATACTCAATACGCGCGACATCCTCATGTGTACGATTAGATGTTGTGAATAGTCTACTTGACCCATGGGAAAGTGGCGGATGCTTGGTGCGGCCACTGCCAATCTCACAGCAGCTCTTTTTGAAGTCGGCAGGAAATTATTGCATCCTGCGCTCGCTTTCACGAGGGCGCCAGACATGTTCTAGGATGCAGACCAGTGTGCAACTTCTGCTCACACCTGTGGTGACAGGTGCGCTACTGCAGGAAGAACGGATGTTCACACAACGCGGCGCCGCGGCGCCTTTAGCACCCTTGCCGCGTTGATATAGAGCCATCATTACAAGTGATACGAGAAACTCTTCGAGCGAAGATTCAGGGCAAGGCGTTTAACTTCGGGTCAGCTGGATTCAAGAAGGTCTAGTTGAGTTCGAATGATCCAGTCAGCTTGACGTCGCGGAGCCTTTTTCGCCCTTGCCGCATTGATATAGAGCCATGACTGGAAATGATACTCTTCGGGCGAAGATTCAGAGCTAGGGGTTTAACTTGGGGTCAGCTGGATTCAAAAAGGACTTGTTGGGTTCGAATGATCTAGTCAGCTTGACGCGGCGAGATGGCTTGCCGGAGCAAGGCCGATCAGGATCATTACAACGGCACCTTTGCTCGTTGTGTGCATTTTTGATTCTGCAGCGTCTCGGGCACGCACCCCAGAACCCAAAGTAGCCCGAGCAAGCCTGTGGCACCTGACACGACATGCGCAGACAAATGAGCTAGCTAAGGGTGACCCCAGGTAGACTTACATTGCCTGTTGGAAGATGGATGACAGGGCGTTCTAAAGCAATTGTTTGCCACAATCCCAGCGAACCTGCTGCAAGCTCCGCAGCGTGCAGCGAGACCTTGGCCGTCACCATGCAGAGCAAAGCTGGAGAGATGAACTCCATGCTGTTGTAAACCAGCCGATATACTGCCAGGAACGCACCACGTCCATCTCCCGATGGGGCGAGGTCTGCGCCAATGGTGGTGAGCAACCCGGCGCTCAGGCCATTCCCCAAGCCAGTAAGGCTACCAAAGGCGATGATGGCCTGCGCAGTGTCCAAGATGAGAAGCCCCATCCCGAGGGACTGCGGCACCAAGCACACCGCACCGACCCGGCGCCGTCCATACGAGTCCATGAGCCGTCCAGCCAATGGAGAGACAAGCATGTCCACCAAGAATGACCAGCCGGCGACCTGCCCAATGAACACATCGGACAAGCCTGCCTGTCGGCCAGCAAGGGGGAAAAAGAGCTCTCTGCCCTTCTGGACGCACTGCACTGCACAAGCAAAACAGAGCACGCGCAGAAGGCGGCCGCTGTTTTGCAGGATGGCATCCTTGGCCTTCAATACGCCGCCGCCGCTGCTCTCACTCCGGATCGGGCTGCGGGCCTCTTCGGGGGCCTCTTCTTTCTCGCCCAGAAAGAAGCTCACCAGAGCCGCCAGGATGGCGCAAGCCAGCTGCGCAAGGAACACTGCACGTATGCCAAGGGTTCCCTGTAGCAGTGAGCCCAAAGAGGGTCCCAGAGCTAGGGCCAAGCGGGCCAGGGTTCCATTGATGCTGAGGGCGAAGCCTCGGCGCTCTGAAGGAACTGTGCCGGAGATGAAGGTCTGCTGCGCCAGCGAACTCAGTGAGTTTGCCAACCCCAACAGGAATTGCGAGACCATCAGCATCCTCACATCCTCCACAAAGCAAAGGCCGGCTGAAAGGAGAAAGCACGCGCAGGCCAGCAGCAGAGTGCGTTTGGCACCCATACACGGCAGGAGAAATCCTCCGGGGATGTTCGCCATCATGTAGCCTACACCGTAGAAGGATACCAGCAACCCAACTTCTGCTGTGCTGCCACCCAGGTCCAGAACATGAAGAGGGACAGGGACAGAAACCAAACCACGAATCATTCGACACAGGAGGCACGTGCTGTACACTGGCACAAGCATCCGCAGGACCTGCTGCGAAGTCGGCATTTGCCGCACCTCCGCCTCCGTGGTTGTTGGCTCCACAAGTAGCTGCACATCTTCTTCCCGCTGCGATTCGGACATGGCTACGCTGGCAAGCTCATACTTCTGTGAGCCGCCGCCACGTTGCAACATGTCTCCATGCGTGGTATCTCCGACTCTATGGTACAGCAACTGGCGCGCGAAGTTGCACTTGATTCGCATCGCTCCGAACAAAACAAGAAATGGCATGATAAAGACAGACAGATCGACTGACATAACATAACAAGTCTACAAGAAAGACCCGAGTAGCGAAGTAATCAAAAAAGAATAAGAACAAGAGAATGAACGACAAAATATTCATAACCTGAAAAACTAAGCATTGCCATTCGCTGCGATTTTTGCCTCTCTGGTCTCTGTACTAACATACTGTAGCAACATCACAGCACCCCCAAACACCAGCTTCCACCCCAAACGGCACAGAGGAAGGCCAAACATCGTGTACCATTAAAGCACGGCTTGCGCCCCCCAAGCTGCAAGAACGCCCGCGCGCGCGCGCGCGCACACAAACCTCGAGAAAACGAGCACCTCGTTCGAAGCCAGCGAAGCCCAACTGATGCTGCGCAGGCCTCGATGCCATCTCGGCATAGGCCTCCGCATCTCCACCTCAAACCCAACCGGGGCTTTTTACGCAGGTTTAGCTGGTTTACGCGGCCTAGCGCTCGGTGAGAGCAATGCTTTCTTTCCTTTCCTTCTTGTTCTCTGAGGCGCGGAAGGAAAGAACCGTGCAACCCTAAACCCTAAACCCTAAACCCTAAAAACCACTCTCACGGACCAGTGGCAACGGTTGCGGCAAACTCTTCTCTTTCCGGGCTTTTGCCTATCACCGGGATCCTATAAAACTCGCGCAACATATTTGCTTTGAACATACTACATTCAGGACATGACTAAAGTTCCGAACTCACAAACTCCCTGCTAAGAACTGTGAGTAAACCCAAACCGTCGCCTGCCCGACGAAAGGCCCCCAGGAAACGCAACCTCAGCCCAGCGGCAGGAGAAAACTTTCAAAACTTTAGCTGGGCGTTCGGCACCTGCTTGGGGGTGCCACACTGAAGTTTTTTTTGCATAGGGTTTCGGATTTAGGGTGGCCCTGCAAAGTCAGCAAGTAGTGCTTGTAGTGCGTGCACGCACGTGGCGTGGCTCAGAGGGAAAGAGTAGGAGCCCGGAAGGAAGGGATTACAGGGTGTAGGGTTCAGGATATGGCGAAGATACAAGCCAAGTCGCCCGAAACGGCGCGAACATACCCCAAAGATGCAGCCCACACCCTTCCGGGAAGTTCAGACTCACATTCGGCAGATTCTGCTCTTCGTGCGTGCCAAACCTACAACCCGAGGCTTCTAGCAGGCGCGCACCCTCGACCTCAACAACGAAATCGCAGGCCGGAATTAAGCAGCTGAGCATACAGGGCGCGACCGTGTCCCCAAAGCCCCACCTTAACCAGCCTCCTTCTTCGTGAAGTCCCGCAAGCTGAAGGTGAACCCCTAAACTCCAAGGCCATCTCAACATCCCAAAAACCCTAAACCCTAAAACAGAAACCCTTTGCGTCACGACAGGACAGCAGCGATCCACACACACACACACACAGTGCACTCACGACAGCACACGCAGGGTAGCAGCTACACGAGGTGAGATACAAGAGCACATGGTCGTGAACCGGAGATCGCGGAAGATGGTGCTGGAGTTGGGGAGACAAGGCTTGCTGATAGGCACGTGCAGCAACTGCAAGGGAGGCCTCTGGTGCCTAAAAAGCCCCCTGCGAGTGCGTGTCAGGTGGCAGGTCCTGGGTTCCGAAGGCGGACTGGCGCGCCTGATGGAGAGGGTTTCCTTTTGTGGGGATGAGAGAAACGAAGGGGTCTAGGTCCTAGGGAATTAGGGCATGATCAGGGGCGTCTGTTTTGTGTTTTCGCTGGGCCCTAGGCAGGAGTTGTCGCGGCAGGTGAAGTTCGTGGGTGAGGGACGCAACAGCCCGCCCATGCCCATCAGCCCACCAGACCGAAACCCGAAACATCCGGGAACCCTCGAGCCACCTTGGCGTAGTCTGCGGCCACGGCCAGAAAATCGGTGGCGGGGGTCTGGGCATGCGCCAGGGCCTGTGTTTAGGGCTTCGGGAAGATTGGGCAAAGGCTTGCTGGTAGTGTGATTGACCGGGCTGGACCTGGCCACCGTAAACCCGACTCAACATTTAACTTAAGCTAATCATACATGTAGATACCGCACCGCCCGCAAAGACCATGCTGGTCAGAATGCCACAGGTCTCCTTGTGCTTCCGGGCTTCGGGCTGCTGGATACCCCAAACCTAAGCGCCTTTATCCGTGAAGCCTCGACCCGAAGTCCTACATGTCGTTCTGTGGCTGGGGCCCGGGCCCAGACGATGTCAGTCACATCCCGCGGCGAGAGATCCGACACGCGCTGTGTCGCCTCCTGTCGCGCTCTGAACCCTGAATCTCAGGGACCACCCCCTCCTTTGAACCCAGACTCCTGGGCACACTCCTGGCACCCCGCAGATCGCCCATGGACTGACTGCAAGGAACCGGCACCACGAATTCCCTAAACGAACCATGACAGCAAAATCCGTGCTCGTTCTCACGGCTTACACTTGATCACGCCGTGGAATTCTTGAGGATCAGTGACTCCAAGCACCAAACCCTTAAACCACATGACTCCATATCCTAGACCTCTGATGTACCAGGCCCGGAACCTTCAACCTGAATCGCGTTCTAACTTCCACAGACCAGACGCCCTTTAAGAGGCCCCCCACCTCGGCAATGGCCTTGAGGGCTGCCGTCTCATTCTCCCGGAGACCCATTCGTGCCTAGAGGAGTGAGGGGAGCTGTAAACCATGGCGTCCTTTTACAACAGCGGCCCCTCTGACATTTAGGGAACCCAAGGAGGGACTTTCAACGGTTTACTGTCGAGCAGTCTGCATTGATGTCGGGCTGTAGCCTCCGAAAGCTCAGGTATCAAGGTCACCCCGGCCCAACGCAGAAAACCTACAACCGCCAGCCCTCGCCCGAAGTATCTCTGTCCACACAACCTGCCCCCCGAGGCCTTCATTGAAGGAATCCTTTCAACAGGTCCTAGTAGAACCTGCTACGACTAAGCCGAAACCAACACACATTTCTGAGCCTTTTCCTTCCTACCCTGAACCCTACGCCCTAGACCCTATACGCTATACCCTTGTGCACCGAGCTGTGTGTGAAACAATAGCCCCCCCCGCCCCCCCCCACAAAAAAAAAAAAAAAGGAAGCCGGAACTCCCCTTGCGGCGGGCAGCAAGAGACCAGGCCATGACTGCAAGCTGCGGGGCACTAAAGCCATGGCCTGGCAACTCCGCACGGAAGCTTTAGGGATCTAGGGTTTAGGGCTTAGGGTTTAGGGCTCAGGGGTTTAGGGTTTTAGGGCTTAGGGTTTAGGGTTTAGGGTTTAGGGCTCAACAAGCTTTCATGACTATGAGGTTTAGTTTTGATTACATTTATTGCTATTACAACTTTAATGACTCTGACAATTCTGATTCCTTTTTCTGTTACTACGATCCTGATCATTACTACTCTTCTGGCTATTTTGTTTATTCCTATTATGACGATTATCACCGTTATTCTGGAGAAGCGTTATGAGCAATAAGCACATGTCCAGATACATGTAGAGCCAGCTTCTACTTCTGAGGGTGACGCCAAAGGCTGAGCCCTAAGTGAACTTTGCCAAGGTTGCAATGGTGCAGCGGAAAGGGCGCTGCAGGAGGGGGAACCCAGCAGGTGGCATCAGGAGTCCAAGCGAAAAAACGCCAGACCCAGCCCTCTTGGGGCTCAGCGAAGGGGCGAGTCTCCCCTGCACTCTCGGGCAGCCGGCGGAGGACGCCGTAGCACTCTCGGGCTGCATGGTGATGGCGAGGCACTGCAGCAGGATGCAGCAGGCGATGGGGTACGAGCCACTAGGAGCCCGCCCAGGACACGCCTCAACAAAACAGTAAGCCGGCCCTCAAGAAGCAGTCCGTGCTGACATCTGCCAGGCACAAACCTCTGCCTGCACTTTCGCGGCCCGCTAGGAAACTTCAACCACCACTCCAGCCTGTCTATGACTATTCCTTGTTGGACTTCTTGCCGTTGCTTCTACTCCGATCACTGTTTAGGATTTCCATTGCCATTTGGATGATGATATCACGGCTCTGTTTACCATGGCTGCAGCCCCCCGACCCCCGCGACCAGACAACCACACGTCAAACCACAGAAAATAGAAGAACAAAAGAACAAAACACTGAAATCTAAGTTTCTATGAAGTTGTGGATCTTGACACAGGTTGAAACAAGATGGGGCTGTAGATGTGGAGCTTCATGTCGTGCTGCGTCTCATTGGTTCCAAAGAGAGATGCTGTTCTGAGTCTGACTTCTTATGACTCAACACAGCATGCCACAGATTTCAGGGATCTGGACAACTCCAACCTCTGCAAGTTGTGTTGTGGCTGTTTTTCAGGTTCTGATGTTCAGAGACACCTGTTGGCTTCCTTTTTGCTTTTACGCGCATCGGCGAAAATCAACAGTCGAGCTCCACAGGGAATCAGTCCGGACACGCAGGTGCATCAGGGTAGCCAAGACTGTGCCGGTGGAGCTTGCACTATCCTGGAAGCCCCGTGCAGTCACTAAGCTAATTATTGAGATCACAAGTCCTAAGCAGCATTGCCTCTTGCAAGCTCTTCTCCCCATGTCTTCCTTTTGAAAGCCACAGGTGACTTGCGTCTTAGAGCCTTCGCTCGCTAACAACAACGTGTAACGTGTAACGTGTGTTGTGCATCCACTTGGCTCTCACGAATCGCAGGGTGGGTCATCCAAGTGAGCTGGAAACTTTGGGAAGCGTTTGGCGAAAAGGTCCGAAATGAACTTTACGCGCTCCTCGCCCTTCTTTGCATCACCCTTACCATTCCAAAAGCTGGTGCCCGTGCCTTTGTCGGTAGCTTCATCATACTCACGAACACCAGTGCTCTCGCAGACATCGTTGTAGTTCTTGATGCCTGAGAGCTCATCCAGCGAGATCTCGCCGGCCTCCTCAATTTGGTAAGTGCAGTCACGTTCGCCCGTGACCTCGCTCCCCTTGCACTGGCCACCCGGCTCCCTTTTCTCGCACTCCGCCGACTTCTGAAAGTAGAACTTGCTGGGGCAGGTCCCTGGAAGCGAGAACCACGCAGCTTCGCCCGGCAGCGCCACGCGGCCGACATCGTTCTTCGTGCAGCCGATCACGTAGCCGAGAGGGAGCCAATGGAGCATGGGGCATCCGGGCACGGTGCACTTGGCCTTGTCGAATGCAACGAACGCGTCGAAGTTCTTGTTCTGACCCCACAGCTCCTTGGTGGCACGGTAGGTGACCTTGAATCGTGTCAGCCGCGAGATGTTGAACTTCCTGGGGCAGTTGAAGACCACTTCGTTGTGAAGATACCAGATGTCACCCAGCAAGTTTGCCATGTTGACACCGTTCAGCTTGTACCTCTGGTCGTTGTCCACGCGGTAGAGGTAGAAGGTCATAAGCTTGCCCGGGGTCGTTGCAGGCGGCAGCAGCTCCGGCCCTGGCCCCATAGCCCCCAGCATGTCCTGCTTCTCAACTTCTGAGTCGCAGCAGCCAAGGTTCGCACCGGCGGGATTCGGGCAGCAGAGGCCCTTCAAGCCATTCTCCTTGCAAAGCCCATTGTTCTCACACATCCGAGGGGAGTCCGGCGAGACCCCCAGAACCGGGGCTGCTGGAAGAGAGGTGCCACCTCCAGGACAGCATCCGAGGCTGACACCCGCATCGTTGGGACAGCAGTTCCCCTGCAGCTTCAACTTGGCGCACTCGGGGGCCGCGGAGCAGCTCGGATCCGCAGTGGCCAGGCGCGCCTTCAACTCCCCCCGGCTCTGAAGGAGTTCCACACCCTTGTCCTCCTCCACTGCGAAAGCTTGGTTCATATCTTCACAGGCCTCGTCCGCCAGCATGGCACGGCAGGCAAAGCCGAAGAACAAAAGAGCTGCCGATCTCATCTGCATCACTGCCGGGGGGGGGGCTTGAAACAGGACTTCCAGATTGCCCGACCAAAAATGCCTTGAGCCGAAAGGATTCAAGGACTTGGGGCTTTTAGGTTCAGAGGGAGGGTTTAGGAACATTCTGCCATGGATTCCGCCAAGTTGTCCTGCGAATGAGGCCGTACAAGGGTTTCGGGCTTTCAAGTTTCAAAGGCCTTGAAGTGCAGCGTACGGAAATAAGTCTTTGGACGGCTTGTCTGGGCATTGTTGTTCGTGATGAGGCGCTCTAGCGTTCGGGCACGCACTGCACGGACTATGCGGTTGAGAAAACCCTTGTTGGAAAACGGCTGCCATTGGATCAAGCCCTAACACGAAGATGTGAGTCCACTTCCTTTGCGCACACGGGGCCAGCCTCCACCCCGGCGACTGGAAGGCGCCAAGAGCCTGTCATGAGTTCGAACCTACCAGACACTGATGCGCGTACGCACGCGCACGCATGACGCTCGCATACGCGCGCGCACACACCCACACAAAACAAAAACAAAAACAAAAACACACACACACACACACACACACACACACACACACACACACACACACACACACACACACACACACACACACCACACACACACACACACACACACACACACACACACACACACACACACACACACACACACACACACACACACACACACACACACACCACACACACACACACACACACACCACACACACACACACACACACACACACACACACACACACACACACACACACACACACACACACACACACACACACACACACACACACACACACACACACACACACACACACACACACACACACACACACACACACACACACACACACACACACACACACACACACACCACACACACACACACACACACACACACACACACACACACACACACACACACACACACACACACACACACACACACACACACACACACCACACACACACACACACACACACACACACACACACACACACACACACACACACACACACACACACACACACACACACACACACACACACACACACACACACACACACACACACACACACACACACACACACACACACACACACACACACACACACACACACACACACACACACACACACACACACCCCCACACACACACACACCCCCACACACACACACACACACACACACACACACACACACACACACACACACACACACACACACACACACACACACACACACACACACACACACACACACACACACACACACACACACACACACACACACACACACACCACACTCCACACTCCACACTCCACATTACACACCACATCACGTCGCACACCCTAAAATGCGGCGTTCGTACCCTGAAACCATGAACCCTACCCCAGGACCCTTCTGCAACCCTCCACCCCTTCTGACCCTCAAACCCCATTGTAAACCCAAAACCCTAAACTCAAACCCGATTTGTCAATGCCTGCTTGAACTTGGAACCCTCGGATCCCAGCGAGCCTGAGAGTAGCTTTCGCCAAAGCCTTCCTCAGCCCTTCGGCCTTGAAATAAGGGCTTCACGTTTCTTTGTTTTGCCACCCTTTAGGGCTTCGGGGGCAAGCCAAAGTTTTAACGGGGTTTTGGGGCTTAACGGGGCTTCGGGCGAGTCTGCTGCAGATAACTGGATGTGCAAACCTCCTGTTTCCGCAGAAAAGCCGCGTAAACTCCCCAACCCCAACCGCCCACCGAACCCTGTAGCCCCCGGCTGAGAGCTCCAGACGACCGAAGGCCCAAGCCATGTTGGCGAGGTCCTCTTGAAGCGCCCCCTTTTTTCCCTTTTGGGAAACTCATGAACTTGCCAGGCGCCTACGGACCAGCTTCGAGCCCCTTCTTGTCAGGGTTCCAGGATTCATCAATCCCCGTGCTCCAAAACAGCGCAGTGCATGAGCTCCTGGGCGTTGAAGTCTCCTCGCGCCACGCGTGGCCTCGGCTTCGGACATCTGCGGCTGGCTGACTTCGTTGGGAGACTTATATTATGCCCCCAAGACGCACTATGCCGCTATGCTACACCACTATACCTTTGCTCTCAGTCCCTGGAACGCTTTCTCCTCAAGCTGCGACGCCTCCACCAGTGAAACACGCGTGCTTTCGCGCAAGCAATCACCCCACCCCCCGGCGTTGACGCCTCGAAAGCTCATCGCAAAGCGGCGGAATGATTGCGGCTTCAAGGATGCCAGGAAAGAGCCCGGCATACTTAAGCCTTGGGGAAACATGGTTCTTGAGGGCCTGAGCAAAGCAAACACCCAACACTGAGGATCTGGGATGATCTGGGCTTGAGAAAACTGAATCAATTTTGCCACCCACACCGCCCTCACTCTCGCGCGGCTCCGAATCAACTTAAGCTGTTGGATTTTGTCTTGGGCTTTGGGGGGTGCATGGCCTGCTGCCCAGTCCCTTCGCCTTGCTTTCGGCAGGAACGCGGCGAAGCTCCCTGCAAAACACGCGAAACTCTCCCAGGGGCGCGCCCTATGGGCGAAGCCACCAGAAGAACTCGAAACAGGCAGATGACGCAGCCTTCGAGATTTTCAAAAGCCCGCGGCGTGAGCCCTGCAAGCGTGCCTCAACAGTGAATTTCAAGCTGTTAGTCGCTGGCCGCGCGGGGCAAAAAAAACCACCAGAAGGAAGTGTTTGCATGCATGTAGTCATGCATCTGTGTGATTGAGGTCCTGTGCAACTGGATGAATTGCCGCTTCAGGGGGACCCGTTCCCGGATACTTGTTCATCACCCAGTCAAGTTCATTAAACTCAATCACACGGTGCCACACCTCCAGTCTGGGAGCCCTCGCCCACAGCGGCCGTCCAAACTGATTCATGCATATCCAAGCATCATAAAGAGCGGGCAGCCCACCGAAGGTAGCTCAGCGGACGGTGAGCTGGATCAACGCGACACTGGCCGTCGGTGTGCCTGTTGGGTGCCAAGCCGTCACGAGGTAGGTCAGTGGTCCAAGGGTTGGCTCCTCGGGCCGGCCGTACACCAAGCCAAATCGCCAGCTCAGCTTTACCCCAAGGGGAAGCCTCGGAACAACGGAAAAACGGCAGCCTTGCTGGAGGAGAGATACCGGCGGCCACAACTCCACCATCTGACCAACACAAACCTCCAGGCTGCAGGGCGTGTACTTGAAGGCGATCGCGCCAGTCTCTACAAGAGGCTCGGAAGGGGTTCGGGGAGGCTGCCGTCCTGCAGCAGCATCCACGACGAGTCCGGGAGGCATGAGCGATAGCTCTGCTTTCGCCACGGCGTTTGGAGCGACTTGTGGCGACGGCACCCTCCCGGTGATGGCCCATGCCTCTCCAAAGCTCTTTGGCAAGGAGCCTTGTGGACGGTATGTGCACGGCCTGGTTTCTTTCGGATGTCTCAAGCTGCCCATGGGCTCTGGGGCTTCTGTTCGCATACTTTGAAATGCAGAGCGGCCCTCATGTTGCGTGGACGTCATGCAAACCTCTGCAGGCTCGGATCCTCTGCTGCCCCCATCAGCCACTGTTGTTGCCTCACTCTCCTCGCACAAATGTGCGTGGCCTGCGGTAGCAGGGCTTCGGCTAAGGAGCTTCAAGACGCAGGGCTTCTAGGGGCTAAGGGTTTCGGGAAGGCTTTTAGTCGAGCGATCGTGCGGACACGCGGGGTTCAACAGCACTTCAAGCCAGTCAAAATCAAACCTTGGACCTCTTCCTGCCCCCCCTCCCCCCCTCCCCCCGACCCCCTCACCCCCCTCCCCCCACCCCTCCTCCAACCCCAGAATCGATTGCTCCTGTCTCGAGGAACCCTTTTGAACCGGAAGCAAAGGCCAAGCCGGTGCAGGTTAGTGGAACCCTCAACAGATCGATGACCATACAGTCTCCTTAGATTCTGCAACTTCAACGCTACTGCCTACCAGAATCTTATGGAGCCCCATCAATATAATATTGCAAGCAGCGAATAGCGAATAACGCACGAATATAACATTATGACGGGCACCCCACTACAGGCGACGTCATCGATTGCAGCAGCCCCACGCGTTTTTCGCATGGCTGTTCGTGGTTCGCGGCGGCGTTTTCGACATGCATCAGATGCGCTTTTCGGAGTCGCTTCTTTGCCAAATATCTTCCTTGAAGACCTTTACCTCGAGAAAACGCTGCGTACGGCGGCTTCTTCGCGGCGTGCGATGCGTGTTTGTTTTAGAGAAGCTAGTCGCAAAGCACGTGATTAACCTCCCCCCTCAACAGTCCTGAAAAGAAGCCCGGACCAGGCAAAACCCACGGGGTCGTAATCGGCGACGTTAGCAAGAAAGGATGTGGCAATGTCAAGGGCTTCTGCTCTAAAAAACTCTCTGATGAAAAGTCCCCAAGAGGCCCAAGATAGTAAAAATTAAGGTGAAGAAGACCCAGTTAATCGATTGAATCACATGTCAACCGCAAGATGAACCGCATGAACCCCCTCCGGCTGCGGAACGCTTGGGGGCCACTGGCCTGAACCGCACGATCCCTTGCAACCGGCTTGCAACATCACCACCAGGACGGCTAAACATGGCTAAACTTCCCTGAGCCCCACCAGGCCCTACAAGTTAGCCTGCAAGGTTTAAGGTTTATAGGATTTAGGGTTTAGGGTTGAGGGATTTCTTCTGCTCCACGGGGCAACTGAAGAGGGAATGCTGTGTACAGGTAACTTCAGAGCCCAACTGTCCAACTTACTCAGAATGGGAAGGTGCCTGCCCAGCCAAAGGACAAGGGTTTAGGGTTTAGGTTTTAGGGTTGAGGGTTAGGGTTTAGGGTTTTGGGTTTAGGGGTTTTTTGCCAGGTTTAGGGTTTAGGGTTTACTTGGTCCTCCGATGCCCCAAACGGAACTAAATTTTTCAAAACCTCCGACACGCAACCGGCCTTCCTTCACTGGCATGTGCCACCGGGTGGTTCCCGCGCCAGACGGCTGCTTCCAGTTTTGGCCGATCAACGTGGGCAACGTCTGCTTCGTACCATTCCCAACGAAGCCTTGCGGCTGCTGGGCTTGAACTCGAAGTTTCTGGCCGTCTGAGGGGGGGGGTGAAGGCCACGTAGATGAGCTTGAAGCGTTCGCCCCAGGCCCCTCTGCAAGATCTGCAAGAACCGAGGTCGCCTTCTGTGCAGGGGGCATGGTGGAAAGCTCCGCGAGACCTCCGCTGTCCCACGAAGCCGCTTGATTGAACTTGGATCCGAGAACGGCTCTCGGAGTCACTGAGCACATCAACAACGAGCAGTGCTTTGGACATGCCTAGATCACCCAAAACCCCCCGGCAACTCAGGACGCCAAGTGGCTCTAAAGCTTCTACCCAAGCCCAGAACACTAAACGACTTACACGTCGTGACGTGTGTCCCCGTCCAGTTGCATTGTACACAACATTCCGCTGGGCTTCGGGAGTAACTAGGGCACAGGATGCAGGACGTGGATCTTTCCTCCCGGAGTTCATGTTGCACGACTGGAACAAAGAGACCTGCGACCGAAGCGCGTAGCTGCTTTGGCGATGTCCATCAGCACCGCCTCCGAACTATGAAGGCAGCTTGATACCGACTGACGTGTTTGCAAGATGAAGCAGGCCAATTACAGTGCTACATGGTTTGGTGGTTTGATGGTTTGGCCGTCAAGGGGCAGCCTTTGCACACATGCATGTACAACCACTGCGACGTTGGGAACGAGTCGGAACGAGGTCGGGGACTTGCAAGAGGCACGCGACATCATGCGACAAGTGTTCCAACTACACAGCGGCTCCCGAACGCCGCAGCCAGCAAGCCACACATAGCACACCGCTGCCATCCCTATTCTCCCAAAAACGAGGTTGTTGTGTGCCAAGGCTTGGGGAGCAAACAGCCCTGCTTCTGATTCCAGTGGAACTGCCTCACCTGCCTCGAGTTCAGATTCAGACATATTCAGACGCCTATCAGGACAAAAGCGAAGCACAGGAGGCCTCACAGCGGCAGCCCAGTCGGGCACAAGCCCAAGCCAACTCAGTCCACGCAACCACGTAGGGTTCTTTTTTCCGGGGTTCAGGGCTTCAGGGCTTTGGGGGCCTCGTGCCTGAAGGTGCAGGGGCTGTTGTAACCAGCATTTGGGGTGGAGGGCACCTCAAACCCCCTTGGTGAAGTCGGGAAGTCTTGGGGGAAGGCTCCGGCCATTTCTTTCCGGGATCATTGATTCAAGGGGCTCTCAATCCCCCCCGCCCACCCGACAAGACGGCCAAACCCTTAAACCCCTCAACTCAACAAAATGGCCGAATGCCTTCAGGCTGCCCGGATCCCCACAAATCTTAAAATCCTAAAACCGACCACGGGCGACCCAGCCGTCGCCAGCTGTTGGGCGCTGAGCGCGTTGGCTCCACCAGGTTGACTCCGGGACGCCTCTCGCTGGGATCAGGATTTGGGGCTTGTTCTTCTGCAGGGACCGACGGCCAACAGTCTCCCTGCCCCCCCCCCCCCCCGGCACACTTCTGTTACCTGATGTTTGAGTAGGGTCTTGCATTTGGGGTTTTGGGCCTAGTTTTCTTAGGGGGTTCTGGCCTTCCAGGGCAACATGCGGCTTACTCTGCTACCTGATTTTAGCGAAAGCTCCCTACCCGGAAGGAGAGGTGAGGCTGACGCAGGGAAAGAGAGAGAGAGAGACAGAGACAGAGACGGAGACGGAGACGGAGACAGAGACAGGGACAGGGACAGGGACAGGGACAGGGACAGAGACAGAGACAGAGACAGAGGCAGAGGCAGAGGCAGAGACAGAGGCAGAGGCAGAGGCAGAGACAGAGACAGAGACAGAGAGCGAGAGAGAGAGAGAGACAGAGACATGGAATCAGAGGGAGAGGGAGAGGGAGAGGGAGAGGGAGAGGGAGAGGGAGAGGGAGAGGGAGAGGGAGAGTGAGAGGGAGACAGAGAGATGGAGAGATGGAGAGGGAGAGAGGGAGAGAGGGAGAGAGGGAGAGAGAGAGAGGAAGAGGGAGACAGAGAGATGGAGAGGGAGAGATGGAGAGGGAGAGAGGGAGAGGGAGAGCTAGAGACCCGACCTCCCACACTTGAAGAGGTGAGCGGTTCAGGGTTTTGGGGTGGGGTGTTAGGGTTGAAGGCCTTCGAAGTTGTCTAGGCCTCTAGGCACGTCTGTAAGCTTCAACTGAATCATTCCCACCTTGGCCAGAGACTCCACCACTTGGGCAGCCAGCGGGTTGTCGTGCCCGGCAGTGGCCAGCGCCCAGGCCGCCATGGAGAGTTCCTGTCAGGGGAAGTTCGAAGAGTTTAGCCAACACCACTCCGAAGCCGACGTCATAGGGGCCCACCCAAGAAGCCACTGTAAAACCTCACAACTCGACTGCTGGAGCTTGGGGCTTTCGGAGCTTGTGAGCCAACGCACCCTTTTTCGAGGCTCAGAAAATAATCCCAAAAATGCTCCCGCGAGGTGCCTGGGCATTCAGATCTCCGACACGAGCTGCCAGTGCTGCACAGATGGGCTTCAGAAAATCCTGGCGAAACGTGGCCCCGGGCGGCTTGAGTGACTACTCAAGAGAGTGGCGATGGAGAGCCACGTTCCGGGTTTCGAGAACTCCTGGTGTGGCTTTTGAAGGCTCCACCCTCCTCGTGCGGCTCGCAAGGAGAGGACAGGGGTGGGCGATTCTGGCCCCACAAGGCGAAAACGTGCGGTACGGGCCCGTCGCGTGACCATGGTGTGAGGTGACAAGAAAAATGACCGCCAGCCTCTGCTGAAGTAGCGCCCGCTTCTTTGAGCAGCCGAGCCGCAGAACCTCAATAAAAAGTGAAGAATAACACCTGTGCTGCGCAAAATAAAGCAAATCCCAGCACAAGCCTTGCCAGTTCCTACGCGAGCAAAACAAGAGTCGGCCCCGAGGCATTTGGGGCTTCGGACTTGGACAGAAGGGGTGGAGTTCTAAACCCCGAACCCTACACCCTACAGGCCCTAAACCCTAAACCTCAGGGTGGGGCCTCCGACTTCACCGCATCTCTTTGAGGAAAAGGCTTGCCCACACGGTTGAATTTGGGGGGGGGGGGGGGGCCTTTTCTCTTGCCACCGGCCAAGCAGCCAAGCCACGCTGGCAGGGTGTTGGGCAGGCTTTATGGGGTTCATAGGGTTTACAGGATTCAAGAAGGGTTTCTCGGGTTTCTAGGGTTTGTAGAGCTGTATAGGGCTTTTTAGGGTTTAGGGTCTCAACAGCACGAGGCACCGCCCGCGAGAAGCTTCGCGATGGCCCAGGCGATATTCGCCTGGGGCCACTCCGAGAGGACGGGGCAGCTCCTGTGAACTACACCCATGCCCGCGGCGCCCTTCTTGTGCGTCGGGTTCTCTGCCAACTACTTGCTGTCGTTCTTACGTTGCGATTCTTGTCGGAGCTACACTGCAAATACGACCCTCCCCCTCCTCCCCCTCCTCCCCCCCCCCCCCCCCCCCCCCCCCCCCCCCCCCCCCCCCCCCCCCCCCCCAAAAAAATGGTTGAAACACCCAGGCAAAGAAGGACGAGAGGCCAAGTGCTGGCCGCTGAAGGCCCAGAGGCGCTTCTTGTTGCTCATGACCTCCGAGTCTCTCATACCCCCAAAGTCCCCAAACCCTAAACCCGATCGAACAGAAAACTCACATAAAAAAAACAGAAGGACATAAGGATAGACATGTGGTCAGTTCTCCAGATGATGGTCCTCTCTTTTTGGGGTGCCCTAAGTTTTCGAGGCCGCCTCAGAATTAGTAAGCCCAGAAAGGGGCTCGAGAAGTGGCCGTGCAGAAGAATGGAAACCCTAAACCCTAAACCCTAAACCCTAAACCCTAAACCCTAAACCCTAAACCTGTCTTACTATATATACATATATATATATGTATATATATATATATATATATGTATATATATAACCCTACAGCTTCGGCTCCGGCCTGGCGCGCGCGGCAAGCCATGGTCACCTGGGCGGCCCCGGGCGAGGCCAGCCGCTCGGCGGCCTGGGCTGAAACTCATGAGTTGAGGCCTTTTTCGGGGGGGGGGTTGAGGGCTTTAGGGTTTAGGATGGTTTAGAGCTGAGGGTTTTAGGGGGTTAGGGCTGAGGGTTTTGGATGTTTTTGCTGAGGGTTTTAGGGCGTTCTTTGGATGAGCGTTTCAAGGGTTTGTGCGGAGAGCTCTTTTTTTCAAATGTTTTGGGGTTTTTTCACTCCCGCATAGCTGGCCGACCCGCAGGCAGGGTTTGAAGGTGTTGTGCCAGGAAAGGGTTTAGGGCAGAAGGTTTTGGTTTTAGGGCTGAGGGTTTGTTTTGCCACCCACCAAGCAAACCAGCCACACTGCTGAGGGTTCTGCGTTTTGGGTTTAGGGTCTGCTTCGCGTTTTTCCATTTTTCTCCAAGCTCCTGAGATACGGACCCTACCCCCCCATCAGATAGTGAAAGCGTACATCATTTTAGGAGGGTTGCCCAAAATCATTTGGTGCTTCGGAGACCATGACCCTCGGGTTAAGGCTTTTAGAAGAAGGCATAGGGGCCACATGCGCTTAAGTTTTGCACATGGAAACTGGTGGGCTTATGAAATTCGAAGGTTCGGCACACTTACCGTGAGCATAGGAACGATCCCAGCTTTTGACTGCTGGTGTGCAGCAGCACTTTGCTCGCAATGCACATTTCGTTGCTCCGCAAGGGTTCTGGATATACAAAACTGCAGATTTGAAGTCAATCTCCAACAAGTCAGCCTTTAAACTGCAGATTTTCGTACTACCTGTGATGAGGACATCCGGAGGGCAGAGCAGCTGCATGCACGACATACAAGCATGGGAAAACCCGCATCTACCTAGCTGACAAAGCAAGACCCGAAGCTGTGGCAAACAAGTGGCCCACAGCGCATTCGCCAGATTCTGCGGTGGAACCTGGGGCAAATCCGACCGAAATCCTTGACCTTTTTTTAAACCTAGAATCCTTTACGTCAAACCCTAAACCCTACACCCTAAACCCCAAGTTACTTGAACCCAGACTCCTTACGTCAAACCCAAAACCCTAAACCCTAAACCCTCAGAAAGTAGCAGGACTTGCCAGCCGGAAGGCGGGCAGCGAACGACGGCGAACTGTCAAGCCCAGAAAAGGCTGCAACCCCTAAACCTCAGGCCCTACCTAGGCCCCATATGACACATTATCGTGGCCCTACGCCCCTTGATGTTGGGGCACAGTATGAAGGCCAGAAATCGGTCCTATTGCGACCTGAATCCGAGTAGGGTGCCTGGTCTCCGGCCGCCTCCACCAGCTCTGCCGCCCGCTGCAAGAGTCTTTCCAGGACCTGACTCGGACCCATAAAGAGGCCTGAATAATTAGAATAGGATTTTGGGGGGGTTACTACAGTATATTTAGAAAGGGACCGTAAGGGGAAACCAGTAGTAACTACTCCGACCCCTATAGTACGCAGTGGTGCAGGGTGTGGGACGGTCCAGGTCACGTGAAGGTTGGGGCTCAAAGTTTGCAAACCGCATGCTCCCTTCTTGGCCGTCCAACTCCTCCATCCGCCCCCGTAACACAACACCCGAAGCAGACACAGCGGTCTCTCCCATTTGCCTCTGCGGGCCTGGGACCAGCTTTTGTCCTCACAGGCCGGCCTCTCGGCTTGGAATGAGGGCTCTCTAGGTTTGGGGTTTTGGGGCTGACAACACAAGTTCTGGCAACATGTCTAAACCTTGCGTCAGAAAGAGGAATCGCCAGGTGCACCGCGCAACTCCAAGACGGCCATCAAGACGTTTTACCGTTTCAGAAGCGTCGGGGGAATGATGGTGGCTTGGAAAGCCGAGAGGCCCAGGCCCGAGCCCTGCGCTTTGGCGTAGCGTTGCAGCGCGGTGGTGCAGTTCACCTCATTTTGGACTTTTTTGTGGGGGTTTGTGGGGGGGGGGATACTCCCAGTCTGTGGGGGTTTGGTTGTTCTCCGCGTTGCAAACCCGTCAAGGGGAGCACGGCCAGAATCCTAGCACCACAGCGGCGCATTGTGTGGCACATTGGAAATGTAGAGCGATTCCCCCATCCAGGCCAGGCAAGGCGCGAGGTTAAACTCTGAAAGGTTGTCCTGGACCACCTTCGATCAAAAACCGTCCAAGGCAGCCTATTCAGGATGCCCTTCAACTTTGCTGCACTCCAACTTCCACCCCAGAAACCCTGAAAGATCTGAAAGTCGTGCCATACCACACAAGAAGGGCGGGGGCCTGCAGGATCTCCGGCGCCGTCGACTGTGTGAGCCAGCGGTTGAGCTCGATTTGCCGGGCGGTCGCCATGGCAGCAAGTGTTCTTAAATGGGTTTTTAGAGGCTGTTGTGGCTGGGTGCTAAATCTCGCAGCTGGGGTCGGAGGTTTAGAGGGAATCTCGAGCCGATTCGAGGGATCGCACAAGGCAAGGAAGCCTCCGCGGAAGAGATGTTTACGCATGGCCACCAGGAAAATGACCCATCAAAGCATTCTGGTGGGTTATGACAAACCACCCACATCCCCCTCCACACCCCATTTCCATTCAGTGGGGGGAGGTAGGAGAGATTGGGGTGGGAAAGGCGTGGGAGGGGGGTGGGAGAGTGGTGAGGAGTGGGAGAGGGGTGGGAGAGGGGTGAGAGATGGGAGAGGGGTGGGAGAGTGGTGAGGGAGGGGTGGGAGAGGGGTGGGAGAGGTGGGAGAGGAGGGCGTCATTCTACCACCGCAGATTTGGTGCCGCGAGAACAGGTGTTCCTTCGTTGTCACCAAGTCGGCAGACTGCGGCTTCGAAATAAGTCTAGCACAAGGCTGTGGTCATAAGGCAACCATGGTGTACCATGGTGCACACTCAAAACGGAAAATGGATTCACCACCCCTCATGGTGCACGGGTATCCTTTTAGGACCCAGGGTTGCACGAAGAAACCCCGGCCCGATCCCACAAAGGTAAGCTTGCGTCACACACACACACAAGCGCTGCTCGTACAACACTTGCAACATGAAGAATCCACTGGGGATCCGATCGAGGAGGTCTTACTATTAAACAAGGTTGGGGTGCTTCCCCTTTTGGGGATGCAACCGGCAAGAGTCAAGACAAAACTACGAAGCAGCATGCACGTCGGCGTCTGCTACTCTAGAAGGAGCTCAGTGAGCTCAGTGCGCGTGGCCGTGGTCGTCTGACAGCTGCCCGTCAGCTGAGCATGTCGCATGCTCGTGGCCCTGGTACACCCAGGTCATGATGGCCACCCCGATGATGAAAGGCACCAGCCTCTTCAAGGACATCATGACGCTGAGCTTCTTGTGGCTGGCCGAGCCATGCTCATGGAGATGGGCAACGGCAGGTCCCAGCTCAGTGACCGCGATGTACAGGAAGGTGCCACCGCCGGCAGCCAAGAACCAGCCTTTGGTTCCACTGCTCATGTCAACCTCAAACCCAATTACGGCACCGATCAAGGCCGTGCAACCCGACAGCACGTTGCAGAGCACCGCGATGGCCCAGTGCATCTTCGCTTCCGTGACCAACACGATGAAGTCTGCAATTTCCTGTGGCAACTCGTGCAAGATCAACGGGACCACAAGACCCCATGCAACGCTCCTGTCACATGTCCTGAAAGCAAGGCCAAGCACGAAACCATCAGTCACGTTGTGCAAGGCATCGCCCAGCAGGATAGGCCCTGCCACAGCCAAGCGGTTCCTCCTTGATGGCTCCACCTTCAGATCGGTACCATCCTCCACTGCATCGCCCGCCGTCACCGGCGAGACTGCATCCGACTCTTTTGCGGGGAAAACCAGAGAAGTGATGTGGTCAACCACTGCTCCGAACAACCAGCCGAAGATCACGGCGATTCCCCACTTTGTTGTGGCGGACTTCTCTGTCTCCCCAACACCGATGTAATGCAAGGCCTCTGGCAGAAGGATGAAGGCGCTTGTGCCGAGCACGATGCCGGAGGCCAAACTCTTGATCGGCACCTCGAAGACTTCTTTGAACGTGCCTGCCTTCTTGGAGCAGGTGCCCAGCACCATGAAGATGCCCAGCAACGTCGGCAGCATCGTGACGATCGACGCGCCGATGGCCTCGCCGACACCTCCATAGACAGCTGTGACTGCACCATGGTCGTCATCGCCATGGTCGCCGTGGTCGCCGTGACCATCGTGGTCGCCGTGCTCGTCGTGGCTGTGTGCGGCACAAAGGTCGAGAGAGCCCAGGGCCACAGCAATGGCCACGAAGGTGGAAAGCCTCACCATGGCGTCTGGCGAAAAGGGGGAGGGCGGTCAAGGATGGGCCACTCGCTCATCGAACCAGCATGCGGTGATGCAACATGCGCACGAAGCTTGAGCTCTGTCATCGACACGAAAAAGCCCAGAAAAAGCCCAGAAAAAGCCATGAATGCGGCAGTTGGCACCGTCCGGGAAAAAATCCGGCGACTCGGTGAGCACCGTGACGCCCTCTCACTGCGAACATGGGGAGAGGTCTATGGCATGCTTTGTCAAAAGCCTGGCTACAACAGGGTCAAGCCCATGCGCATCGCGCACCACATGTGGGGTCTTCAGCACTCACTTGATCAGTCCTCGCAGCTTTGAGAACTCCGTAGCCTAAACATCCCCCAAGAAAGCGCCCCGACAGCCAAGCCCTGCGTCTGCCGCGCCGCCGGAGCGCGGGCCACCATGGCGGAGCAATGCAACATCCCTCAACCCTGAGCTCCTAATGGGTTCTGCCCCTCCCAAAACCCTTATGAAATGCGAAAGGGCTAGAAGGGTCCCCCACACCCAGCACTTCTCCTCATGCGGGACAAATGTGCAAGCTGTGGACAGCAACTGCAGAGGAGAGTTTCGGATTGAGGGATTGGCATTGCAAGCGCCAGCTTCAAAGCGGCATAGTTTGGGGGCCCATCTGCCTCAGCATAAGGGTGAGGCCGAAGACCTACACCAAGATGCCCGAAGCTATCTACCTTATGCGATCAACGCTCGGCGGCAAGGGCGGCAGGGGTGGGAGACGTGCCTCCAGGCACTTGTCGTGCAGCTGGGACGACCTGCTTAGCAGGCTTCGCTTGAGGGCTCTTCTTGCAACTCACCTTGCTGGAGAGTGAAACATCAAGAAAGTCTTGATAGACATCAAAAAGTTGCATCAAGAAACATTTGATAAACATCAAGAACAATTTGAGCAAGCAGTGAAGGTCGCCAAAGGCATGGATGCTTGTGACAACATGTCTTGCTCCACATCCTTGTGCAGTATGTCGTACAAAGAGGCGACAATGCTGCAAAATACTAGTGATTTGGGCACGGACGCAACACAAATGACGTTCTTATCCCCCCCCCCCCCCGGCACCCGCCCGCCCCCATGCGCCCAAACAAGAAACGTAAACCCTGAACCTGAAAAGTGGTGTAAACGCAGGGCACGTTACGGGCACCGTCACCCAAAACAGCCCCCCCTCTTCCACCCCCCCGCCACAGCTTTGGAACTGCCCCAAGACCTTGCCCCCAAATTCAAACTGGATACAGAGTGTGAAGTACGGCGGTATCTTGATGATGGCAACTTGGTTCTCCTCTTCAAGTGGCTCTAGGCCGCGCAGGAGGGAGGAGCCTGTCACCTAAAGCCCGGATACTCTTCGAGAGCCCCTGGGGTTCCCAGCCGCAACTCGCCATCGACCTGCTCTAGGGATCTTTTGCAAGGAATGAAGAGCCAGGTGCGGAGGAGGGCTTGGGGAAAACAAACCGGCATTGTTGGCTGAAGCCTGGACTGATTGCTGGGATAGCAGACGCCTCCACTGGAGAGCAATGCCCAAGAAAAGCCCTCCAAAAACCAGGCCCCGCCTTGATCAGCTGCTCTACGGCATCTTCCACCTCCGGTAGGGCCGGTAGGGACTTTACAAGGTCTGGGAACGCCAAAGCTCCTAGGCACACCTTGTTCAATTCACAGACAGTCACGCCCCAAACCGAACTACGAGTAAGTCCTTCTAAACGCATGTAAGCCTATGTATTGGGTTCTGGCCTTCTTGACAGATGCCTCCACTGCATCAGCTTGAGTGGAAAGCTGCTGAATCTTCTCTCTGAGTTCTGCCTGGCGAGGCCACTAGGCTTGAGGTGCAGGTGGAAAGCTCCTGCGACTTCTGAGGAAATAAAGCACGCGAGTTGCCCTAAACCCTAACCTTAAACCCTTCACCCTAAACCTCTAGACCCCGCCTTCGAAGCCTCGAGCTCTTTTTCTCGCTCCTCGCGCGCCTGGCGCCGCACCAGGTCCTCGAGGGTTCCGCCAAGAGCCCAACACCCTGTAGTTGAAAGTTCATACTCCTCAAACCATGTCGTGGGGGAAGGGCCATCCTATGCGGTCTCCGTGGTGAAATACTCTCTTTCGACTCTGGTCCTTCTTCTGCTCGCGGAGGATGCCAATCTGCACCTTAAGCCCTTAACCCCCAAACCTCAAACCCTAAACCTTCTCGAAGGCTCCAAATCTTCAAAACCAAACAAAACACGCGCGCACGACACCCCTAAAAAGTATTGCCCTATTGAACAATACCACCCGGTCCCCAGATCCCGATTGCAAGATGGCAAGGACTTGCATTCCGGTACCGTCCCTGGCGTGCAAGTTAGGCAACCTTTCGGCACAGCTGCCCACCTTGTCATAAGCCTCCTTGCCCTGCGTATTGAGGCACAGCTCCGGTGCAGCTGCCTGCAGTTGCCCGCCTGAGCCTCCTTGCCCTGCTTGTTAAAGACGTGTCAGTTGCCCGCCTCTTTGCTCTGTTTGTCAGGCCTGACCTGGCTGCTTGGCAAGAAAAAAGAAACATTTCCGGCACCGTTGCCACCTGAGCCTCTCCTTGGCCTGCTTATCAAGGCAGCATTCCGGTACAGTTACGGAGACATTCTGGTACGGTTAGGTTACAGTTGCCTGCCTGAGAGTTCATGGCCTGAGACTCCATGCATTGCTTGCACAGCCACCTTTTTCGGCACAGTTGGGATGAGGCAACATTCTGGGACAGTTGTTCGCCTGATTACAATTGCCCGCCGCTCGCTTGAGGCTCCCTGGCCGCGGCAACATTCCGGTACAGTTGCCCGTGTTCTGAAATCTCTACAGCCTGTCCTGAGCACTTGCGTCACATGATGCATGCCACTTTGCCCTTGAAATATACGGTAATATACTAATATACTGTAATATACTGTAATCTACTGTAATATACTGTAATATACTGTAATATACTGTAATATACTGTAATATACTGTAATATACTGTAATATACTGCAATATACTGCAATATACTGCAATATACTGTAATATACTACCAACAGCCCCCCCACTTCTCGGGGGACGGAAACCCGAACCGCCCCCCCCAAGATTCGGCCGAGGCTCCCGGAGCCTCTGGAAGTCGGCCGTCGTCACGCCTTTGGTGACTTGAAGAGCCTGCAACCGATAGCATCTTGGGGCGAGGCTGACACTCAATTACACTCAATGACACTGTGGGGTGGGAAGCACTTAATATGTCGCCTTCGGGCTCCGGTGTTTAAAAACCCGCCAAGCAGACCAGCCACCACAGCAAGGGTCGAGGGTTGAAAGGGTCTGGATACGATGCCCTCGCAGATCCTGTGCTCAACTCCCGGGCTCCCTCTACTGTTCTTCTTTCTTGCCACCTGCCTTGCTGACCAGTCTCGGACCGCTTTTGGATATATGGAACTAGAGGCGGGGTCTCAAAGGGACAGGACCGAGCTGTCCAACGCCGAAGTTTTGAAGCTCTCCTTTCAGAGTTCATAATACAGTACTCCGTAGAGCAAGGAGAACGTTCCAACGATTTTCGACTTTAAACATCCTTTAACACAGAGAAGACGACATACTGAAAGTTCAGAGCGCGCAATCACCACCTTGAAGATCTTCCCCGCTGCCACTTCCGTGAGGGCAAAGCCGAACTCCTGCGTCAAAGAACCCAGGAAGTATCGGAACAAGCAGATCCACGACTCCAGAATAAACCCCACCACGTTCCGGCGTTTGCCCCCAGAAGGCCTGGGGTTTTGGCTTCAAGGCTCGGGTTGGCCCCTGTCCTTCTTGCTGTAGGCGACCACCTGCTTCTTGTCAAGAACGCCGTCCTCGTGGATCCCCTTCCACTGAATCACTGAATGGCCCCCCCGGAGATTTTCGGGCCAGGGGCGCTGCCTTCTAGCGTTTTGGGGGTTTAGGGTTTCGGGCTGAGGGTTTAGGGTTTCGGGTCTGGCTTTAGAGTGTCATCTCCATATAGAGCGTCCTCTCTTGTTGCATTTAGGCCAGTTGCACGATTGCCCCGAGCCATCCCTGGATCATCCCTCCTGTCCTTCGCGTACTTGCTAAACTTGGCCTTCCTTTCCTCCATCACTTGCTTCGCCTGCCCAGGACAACTAGAGGGGTTAGTCAAAGGGTTTTCTAGGTTAGGGCCTGGGTCTTTGGGTCCTGCGAAAGCAGGCTCCCGATGTCTGAATCTACTGGCCACCACTGGTTTCGGGTTGTTCGGGTTGTTCGGGTTGGGCGGGGGGTTATGTGCCTTATGTGCTTCTGGGTTAGGCTGTTCATGTGGGCCCAGCTGGGGTCCCAGGCCAAAGCTTTCTCAGGGTTCATGGGCACGCTGTATCCACCGCACCCCAGGCTCCACACCAAAGGCTCCGCCCAGCCCCCTTTTTGTCACGCTGGTCAAATGGCAAATGGGCACAAACACCCGGAAGTTTCCCATGGCCTTGCTCCTTTTCAAGGCTTTGCTCTTGACCAGGTGGATCTTCAGCATGACTGCATCCTTGCAGATTGTAAGCAGGGCTGTGTCCTCAACCCCTGCAAAAACCAACCAAGCGACTCGCTTGCCAAGCCATAAATCCAGACCCCAACTGCCCCTGAAGTCACAAGACCCAGCGCTGTGCCAGCCTTCTTCTTTGTGGTCTCCAGCAGCCTATCCATGACCTTGCTAAGGACCTGCATATGGGGAGGGGAGGGCATAGACCCGAATCGCTCCATGCGATGCGAAGACATCACAACCTCGCACCCTGAAGGGCCTGCTTGACCTCAGCGGGCGGCTGGCCAGGCCTCAAAGGTCTCATTGGTTGGTGTTGGTGGGTACACAGCTTGTGGCGGCTTCTTGGTGCGCACCCGTAGTCACCACCCCAAGAACCACCCAATAACCTATGGCTTAGGGCGCAGCACTCGGCCGATGAGCTGCCATGGAATGCTTCCATGGAAGGACCCACCCACGCGGACATAGCCGACATGAGGGAGTTCATCTGACCCTAAACCCCTTGCGCTTTAGGCTTTGATCCCTAAACCCCCTACACCCTAAACCCCCCCCAAACCTGAGCCCCCCTACACCCTAAACCCCCCCTAACCCTAAACCAGTGGCCACAATGGAGGTTCTGCCAAGCCCCGGGGCCGAGGCAGATCCTGCACCGTCATCGTCGCCTTGTGCTGAGTCAGGTACTCTTGACCTAAGTCCAGTGAGCTTTTCCGGCACAAGGCCCTCCGTAGTTCCCGTATCATGTAGCAATGTGTCTATGGTAGCTGGACATCACTTCGGGAATGCGAACAGGGCATCGCTGCAGCCTTTCAATGGCCGGAAAGTCACGAACACTTTCAACGTGTTGACCACCTGCTGCTAGACTGCCTCTTCAGGTCCTTAGAGATGAAGGCCAAATAAGTATATGGACAGCTTTACAGAACTTATGTCCACAAGGTTAAGATTTGATGAACAGTCTTTGAGCTTCACCTCCAATGATTGCACAAGATCGACGCCGTTGAGCAGCACAGCCCTAAACCCTAAACCATTAAAAAACTCGAAGCCTTGAGTGCTGTGCGCGAACGTGCGAGTCAAAACCATAAACTCCTAAAACCCAAAGTGCGAAACAATCCCAAGCCAGACCCTGAAACAAAGATGTGAAGTTGCTCCCTGCATGTCCGCTATTTGTCCCCCTGCTTACACAACGCCTGGGTAAGCGGGCAGGTGTCCTTGTCTCGCAGCCGTAATACTTGCGAGTGCTTGGTTTGGGATCAGACACGACATGAAACCCACAGCGACTAACAAAACAACGCCTCCGCACCTGTCCTAATTGCGAGCTTTCACCAACGTCTTCAAGAGACCGTGCGACACAACCCGCTACCCACACTGCACAGCTCTCTGCAGCCACAGATCCCGTGTAGTTGTTACACAAAGGTTGTGCACCACAGTCGGTGGAACAATCTGCTACGTCCGGCCAAAGTGCGCGGAAGAGAAGGAAGGCAACAACAAAGACCGGCAAAACAGAGGTCGGAAGACGGTGTGTAGGGAGGTCATTGCCAACCCCAAAAGCGGCTTTGGCACCTCCGCACCAGGGCGCCCGGCTCTCGCTGGTCCGTGCTGTGGCCTCTTCCTTGGCCTGCCATTCGGCGTTGGGCTTTACTTCAGGTCTACACACGCACACCGCCGCCAACAGAGCTACCGGACAGCTGCATGCATCAGATGCAATACACACCCCAACACACGACTTAAACAGTGACACTAAGCATGTGCATGCTGCGACGTAAGAACAAAAAAGAGTCGGCCAGGGATAGAAACGTGGCAATGCCGGCCGCGATTTAGGCCAGTACTGTAGGGAGAGGACTAAGGATTTATCACAAGCTAGCCCCGGTGCCGGAGAACGTTCGTTGGCGAGGGTCGCAGAGCCCACTTAGATTCGGAGTCCTCGCCCGGGCCGCGCCTCATCAATCTTGGCAGCTTCCTCGAGGATCTTGTCCTCGGAGCTCTGGTCCCCCATGCCGCTCTCGTCAGACGTGAACCTGTGAGTTTAGGTTGCTTCAACTCCCGCAGGCTTGGGGCCCAGGTTTCCGAGCCGAGAGGCGGCTGGAAAGTAGAAATTCGGTTTAGGCGGTTTTTTGGTGAGCCTTTGTCTTGCTGTTGGGCGAGAGGGGAGGGGGCGGTTTCTTTCCCTCCTGCGCAGCTGGGGCGACTAAGTTTGACACTCTAGGTGTCCCCTTTCGGGCGGTTCACCTAGCTTTCTGAGGCAGTCTCCCTACTCCGCACCCAACCCCCAAAGTCTTGCTTTCTCACCAGCACATGAGGCCACACCACGAGGAGTAGCTGCGGCAACGTTGATGTCACAGCTCCGATCTGAGGCCCCAGCGGCTCGGCCTTTTCAGCCAGGGCTTTGGCCTTGTCAAGAAGCTCTCGGCAGGAGGGAACAGGAGACGTGAGACGCGGGCACGCGGGGGTTATACCCCCGAAGTAGGGACCCTTTAGTTCACCAAAGTAGAAATCGCCTGTTTGCAAAACATATTTTAAAATGCACATAAAACGGACCTTTTGCAGCCGGGACACTCATGTGAGGAGAGATGAGGAGATCGGCGGGTTACGTGGTACAAGTGTTGGCATCTTGGTGGGTTTCGACTCTAAGCTACAGCGCGGTCGGCTCCCAGCTCAGCGGGGCACCTGAGAACCTCAACCCCATCCTCTGGGATGCGGGGGTCAAAACACGTGTTGTTGGAGGCCCCGGCTGCTTGCTCCGCGGCCTCCACCTGGCACAGGGCGGGCGGTTCACAGAAGCCTTCTGCTGTGCCATCTGAGCACCTTTGTGGACACCTCAACCCTTTGACATCCATGCCTCGTGACCCAGCCCGAACCTCTGAATGTAGCTAGTTTAGGGTTCCTGCGGCCTAAGTTGGGGAAGCCAACTCTACAACTGCCCCTTCGCGCGCCTTGGCTGTGAACTCTGCGACCTTTGCTTGAGAAGTATGACGACCCCACCTTCCTCTCGTCTTGAACCCCGGCAAGCTGGGGTGGAGGGCTGAAGGCCTTCTCCATATTCTCATCCTACATTGGTGGGATTTCTTTGGGCGGTGTTGCGTGAGATGCATTCGTGTTCTACCACAAGCACGACAGCACCCAAAGACTTGCACCCCACGGACATGTCCATCAAAGCGGAGGAAACCCACGATGCTTTGAGGGCCCAGGCCACAGCCTCGAAAGTCCCCTTCATCCCGAGCCCGATGGGGCTCCAGCAAGCTCCTCCGCCTTGGCACAAGCCGCCTTGTGGGCTTCCAGCATCTCCGCCTGTCGAACACCACAACCCCACACAAGTGTAAAACCCAGGGGTCACGGTCTCCCCGCCCTCCCACGGCTTTGCTCAAAGGCTTCACGGGGTGTGGGGCTCTGAAACACCCCAGAGCCCCAACCTAAAATCAAAGGAGCAAGAAACCCCCGATCCCACGGCGCCTTCTTCTTCTCCTGGAAGGCCTTGACCTCCGCAGCTTCCTCCAAGAATAGGTTGGAGGGGCCCAGCGCCATTTTTTCATAGGGTGTGTCACCAAGCCCAAAACAACCTCAAAGCTGAAGAAACCTTAAAGGATCTAGGAAGCCTAAACGTTACATCAGCTTAAATCCTCATCACCAGGTCGCCACGCCTGGAGCCGCTGCCGCGCCTGCTCCGCAGCTTGGTCGCACTCCTTCGGACTCCCCCAAAAATCCCCTTGAGGAGGGTGCCTCGTGGGCTTCAGGGAGGGTTTAGGGGGAACAATTGGGGGTTGTGAGGCTTTGCTGAGGCTTTGCTGAGGCTTTGCCGTGTGCCCGGAGAGGTAACAAGGAAGCCGAGAGCCTGCCTCGCGGATTCTGGCCATCTGGTGACCGCAGTTGTTCAGCTCCCTCCTTTGCTCGGACCCAAGGATGGTTGAATGCCGCCCCGAGATCTGTGAAGCTGTTCAAGCAACCGGCTTTTTCAGAAGGTCTGCAGACGGGGCGCTGCATCACCTCGTAGAGTTCCTGACGGGGCTCTGCGCGCGCTGGGAATCACAAGCAAACCAACGGTCAAAGGATCAAAAGAAAACAAACCCCCAAACCCCCAAACCCCCAAACCCCTAAAGCCCTCAGCCCTAAGGGCTCTAAGCCCTCAGCCCTCAACCCTAAGCCCTAAGCCCCAAGCCCTAAGCCCTAAGCCCTAAGCCCTAAGGCCTAAGCCCTAAGCCCTAAGCCCTAAGCCCGAAGCCCTAAGCCCTAAGCCCCCTCACTGGGAGGCATTGGCCTGCTGAACCTGCTGGAAGGACTCCTCCTGAGATCCGTCAGGCGCCTAGACTTTTGGGGGGGCCAGGAGGAGCTATGCAGCCCTCAGCCCGAAACCCTAAACCCTAAACCCCAAACCCTAAGTTGGGTGTACTTGGGCTTTCAAGAACTTCGTGTCGACTTTGGGGCCAAGTAAACACGATCGAAGTGGATGAAGCCTTGGGTTAGAGTTTAGGGGCGGGGTGCATGGAACCCAGAGGGCAGTGTCTAGAAAGTGGGTTTGGGGTTTAGGGTTTAGGGTTTAGGGTTTGGGGTTTAGGGTTTAGGGTTTAGGGTTTAGGGTTTTTTGCCACCCGCTTAGCTGGTTTAGGGTTTAGGATTTAGGGTGTAGGGTTTAGGGTTTTTGCCACCCGCTTAGCTGGTTTAAGGTTTAGGATTTTTAGGGTTTAGGGTTTAGTGTTGATTCAGGATGATTCTAAGGTCTCCTGCACGTAGCGCAGCTTCTGGCAAACTGAGCGGATCGAAGTGCAAGCATCCTGCGCGGGGGGGGAGGTTACCCGAAACCCTAAACCCTAAACCCGAAACCCTAAACCGTGCTAGACCAGGGACTTCGGGCAAAGATGTCAGAGGATTGGGCCTGCGGGGCATAATATAAGCTTTACAGCTGCGAAGGTTCCTCCCAGCAAAGGCCACATCCCCAAGACCAGCCGACAGCCTGCTCCATTCGCTGGCGCTCTGCAAGGCGCCGCTGCTCCTCCTTGCCAGGGGAGGGGAGAAGGGACATCGACTAGGCTCAGGGGTATAAAGGCTATAAAAAGGGGGTGGGGGGTTTAGGGATTCAAGGGTTCGCCGGCAGAACAGTGCCGCACAGTTTGAGCTACATCGCCGGTAGTACTTGAACAGCCCCAAACTTCAAGACCACCACCCGGCGGCGCCCCGCCAGTTCTTGGCACCCTAGGTGCTATAAAAAGAGGAGCTGAACTCAGAAGCTGGTGCACTTGGCTATGGAAGAGGTGAGTGGCTGGTACGCGGCGGCTACCACGCGAAATCGCACCAACAACCAGCCAGCATCGCAACTAAACAATCGCTCCTCCATCTGCATCTTCCTCTCCGCGGCCTTGCGCATGACTTCCGCCTCGAGCGCAGCTCAGACTTGTTAGAGCTTCCAGGGTTTTGGAGTTTCAGGGTTCAGGGTTTCGCAGAGGGTGTGTACTGGATAGCTTGCCCTCACGCCTGCTGCTGCTGCCGCATCTCCTCCTCCCGCTTCTGCATGGCACGCCTGTTGTGCATGGCCTATATGGGCCTAGATCCCATAGAGCCATAGAGGATGATGGAGGATGATAGAGACCGCTTCGCTCAAAACCCGCTATCCCAGCGGCCTCTGCTCGTGCTGCCGCCGATTCTGCGCTTGCAGATCCCAGCGCTGCTGGTCATTCTGGGGCATGTGGCCGTAGCCCTGTCCACTTGCAGTGTTGAGTGAAGCTTAGTGGCATCTGGCCTTACAGCGTTGGACATGCGTTGGACCCTTGCACGGCACGCTACGCTTCGCTTTTCAAAGCAGTTATTCTACTGCGAAGGTTCACCGCATGAAAGCGCAGCTATCCACTGCCCAGAGCGCAGAGCTCGGCGCCAAAGGGTGAGCAGCTTGGTATCGGGACACAACGCAGCTCCACAACCCAAAAGAGCCATGCCAGGTTCCGGCAGGGCAACCAACATGGAACTTCTGCAAACTCAACCCGGTTCACCTCAACCTGGTTAACCGCACCAAGAGGACAGGCACGCACCTTGCCACCAGCATTTGGCTGCTGTTGCTGATAGGCCTTGCATGGTGGTTTGCTAGGGTTCTGTAAAAATTGCTGCTCAGCAAGGCTTCGCCATCAAACCATTTCAACACCCGCCCTCACAGTTTAGGGATATCTTGCAACCTGTGCACGAAACGACCAGCCCCCAACTCTTCCGAAACCCCACACACTCCACAAAGGCCCGGCTTCATCCTGAAGCCCCGAACACCCCCATATTAAGGGGTATCCTTAAACACAAGTCCCTATGTACCTAAGTAGCCCCTAAATCACTTCTAGGGGTCCATAGGCCCCCCTGTTCTTGACCCAACGCACCTGCGCGTAGCTCTGCTGCGCCCGAGGCTGCTGCCGAGGCCGCTGAGGCAGGACCTGGGAGGGTTAGGCTTGAGAGCTTCTAGGGGCTTATAGGGGTTTCTAGGATGTATACGGGTCCACAGGGATTTATAGGGTTGGAAGGCTTCTAGGGATTTGTAGGGTTGAAAGGGATTTGTAGGGTTAAGGGGTTTTGGGGTTCATAGGGCCGATCATAGGGTTTGCAGGGTGTCAGGGTTGCTCGGCAGATTCTGTTCGATCTGCTCAGCTGACCTATGCACGAACTGCAACGCAGCACACTTGCACTTGTCCGTGTTGAAATTTCGAGCAGAAAAGAATGCAGACAGGATTCCTGCGTCGCGCAGGCTTGGGGTTTTAGGATTTAGCGAAAGGGCGAGTCGCGGCGGATGGTCGTTTCGGACCGGTTTGGGCCGAACCTGCAATAATTGATGCTTCCTTGTGCTGCAAGTCTCTGCCACAGACCCTACACATCCTAGACATTCCTACACCCTAGAGCTAGGGCTGGTTTTGAGGGCTTTAAAAATCAAATTTTCTATGGGACTAAGGCTTTGGGTGCATGGAAGCCCCAAACTGTTTCCAAAGCAATCCGAGAAGAACCTTGACCCGAAACTGGTGTGGGCGAGAAGCTGATGGAGAAGCTGTCGTCCCTGGGCCGTCGTACGGCAACCTTCCACCCTTTGGTAGGGGGCCTCAGGGAGCTTTTGAATGCCACTAAACCCCAAAAACCCCAAAAACCCAAAAACCCTAAACCTACCCTTCTTCGGGCTTCTGGGAGATTGGCAACCCATGGGCCCCGGGCGTCAGTGATTGGCGGCTAGGATGATAGGCCCAGACCTGGCTTCAGAACCGCCCTCGGAACTAACAAAAAAAGGAATCGCTTGAGCTCAACTTGCGCCCACAAGGCATGCTACAGTCTGCACACGGGACCCTGCAACCCTGAACGCTGAAACGCTGCGATCCCTGAAGCCGGCTCAAACCCCACAAACTGCAACCAAAACCCTAAACCCTCAACCCTCAACCCTAAACCCTAAACCCTAAACCCAAACTGCAACCAAACCCTGCCCCCAGACCTGGTCGCCGCCGACCTTTGGTCCGAACCTGGGCTTCGGTCTCAGGGCCCTCCTCAGGCCTAGCAGGCCTCGTGAGATGTGTGGCTCAAGGTGAGTTTGAAACTTCACTGGCTCAAAGTGCCAACATCAGCTCTCCCACACACTCACTCACCACTCACTCACTCACTCACTCACTCACTCACTCACTCACTCACTCACTCACTCACACACGCACACTAAAAAAAAAACGCGCACACACACACACACACACAAACACAAAAACAAAAAAAAAAAGCAAAACACAAAAACACAAAAACACAAAAACACACAACAAAAAAAAAAAAAAAAAAAAAACACACACACACACACACAAAACCCACAAAAGCACACACAAAAACACACAAAAACCCACAAAAACGCGCAACAACACACAACACACAAAAACGCACAAAAACGCAAACACAAACGCAAACGCAAGCGCTAACGCAAACGCTCACGCAAACAAACACACACACAAACACAAACACAAACACAAACACAAACACAAACACAAACACAAACACAAACACAAACACAAACACAAACACAAACACAAACACAAACACAAACACAAACACAAACACAAACACAAACACAAACACAAACAAACACAAACACTTTTTCGCAAAACATGCGCATGAGAGACAAGGTTCTTTTGCCTCCTGCCAGCTGAAAAGAGACATGACTGCGATATAGGCTTTAGGGCCTTTTAGGGTTCCAGGCTGCCTTCCCAGAACTGCCCGAGACCACACCGCTAAAAAACAAAAAGAACAAAAGAAGAACCCTCCAGAGAGCACGAGGCCCAGGCCACCAGCCGCAAAAGTTGGGACCATCGCGCCTGGACAAAGGCTTTGGGGTTTCGGGAGCCCTGGGCCTTGTATCCAGAATGCCGAGGCGGCGGCTCGTCCCAGAAGTAGAGCATGACATCCAAGCCGTTTACTTGGTGGTCCTGGCCATCATCGGAAGGTGACGCAAGAGCAAGAGCAAGCCGGGGCCCACATCGACTGAAAGCGGCCGTGTCTCACAGAAGCTCGGCTAAAGGCTAAAGGGCATGGTCCTTTTTGTATGTTGGCTTGCCATGGTTTTGGCCATTCGCCGTGAAGTTGCCTCTGACGATACCTCAGCTGAGATCACCGCAAAAAGGACACCAAGAGGCGTCAGAAAGCAAGCAGAAGCGTGAGCCGGCTCGCAGGCAGCACAAGTGCATGCACAAACGCTCCAGCATTTGCTACAGCCTCGCTACCGGCAGCTCTCTTTTACTCCCTGCTGGAACGCGGCAGGTCCATCTCAAGCAGACCTCAGGTGAACCCGCATCTCTTTCAGGCCAGCTGTTCGACCTGTTCCACCTGTTCCCGTCTCGGCCTCCTGGCCGAAGTGGCTGAGCAGGTCCATGACTGCGGAGCGCTGCTGCTCCTTGACGACATCCAAGAGTGTCTGGCCCATCTTGTTGGTGATGTTGGCACGGGCGCCTGCTTGCAGCAACCGCTCCGTGGTGTTCATGTGGCCGAATAAGACAGCCTTGAAGAGCGCCGTCTGCCCCAGGCGAGTGCTCACCTCCATGTCCACACGCTGGTCGCCCAGCAGCTCCTCGAGGGTAGAGATGTAGCCGTTCGCGGCCGCGCAAATCAGCGCGGTGGAGCCGAAGAAGTTCTGGTGGTTGGGGTCGACACCGGGCCGGCGCAGGAGCTCGCCGACAACGAAGGCCCAGTCGCGCTGTGCGGCCAGAATCAGCGGAGTGGAGCCAAACTGATCGAGGTCGTTCACATCTGTTCCCTCCGCACCTGGCAAGGCGGCCTCCACGTCCATCTCTCGGTTCGCCTTGATCAGTTCAATGAGGCCTGCACGCAGGGGATGCGCCACGTGGAGGTACCCTCTTCGTGGAGGCGCGAACATGCAGCGGGGCAACCTGTATACCGCCGAGCACGCACGGAACATGGCGCAGCTGGGGGTTCAGGATGTTTTCCACTTGAACACGATAAACAAGTAGCACCATACGGTTGCCACTGTGACAGGCTTAGCTGGTCATTAGCTATCTCGAAACTTGAGCACCCCATTCAAGATTCGACCATGCAGCCATCACGACAAAAAGTCATTGCAGCAACTCTGTGTGTGCGTGCGTGCTACTGCATTTGTTAAGCTTGAAGGCCAGGGGGCCACCCACCGTGCCGTGCGTGCAGCCATTGACCGCAATGTGTGCCTCGGGCAAGAACAACGCTTGATGGACCCCCGTACCCTCACATTTGGCCTAACATGACTTGAGCGGATGCTTCCGGTGCCCAAGGCATCAAACCTGCAATCTCCACAACTCTTGGGTCAAGCGATGTCAAGCGGGTCCCAAACGGTCTGGCCAACGCACTGCACGGGCAGTGCAAGCTGCTGCTGGGCCTCAGCGGACTTGGGGCTCGCATTAGCAAGGATATGACGGTCGATGTTTTTGGTTGCTCCATACAGATTGTCATTCCAGAAAGATTCGTCGCTCTCAATGTCGATAGGATGCGGCAGTTGTCTTGCAAATGTCACAGTGGCAATCGCTGGAAAGTTCAGAATGGCAATCAGCGAAGATCTTTATGGCCATCTCAGTCTTCATCCATGGGGTTGGAGAAGAACTTCGGGGCTTCGGGGTTACCTGCGCGCTTTCCGCCGAAAAAATGCTTAAATCGATCCGTTGAACGATACTAGGCACGTGTTGTTCATGAGTTGTGCATGACTTGTTGTGGCGATTTACATCTTTAGCAGACCACCCACTCAAGATCACTGCCAAGATTGCGGCTGGCTGCGTCTGCTGCGGCGCTGCCTGCTGGGCAGGCTGCTGGACGCCTCGGACAACACACCCCTGTGTAGGGTTCTTGAGGTTGGCCTGTTGCTGTTGGCATTTGGCATCCGCTAGCCTGCTTCATGTGTCCGAGCCCGGCGCTGGCGGAACCCGCGCTGTAGCCAGCATATTGGCTGTAGCTGGCGGCCGCCTGCCCATGAAACCGCCGGAAAACTTTGAACTTGAATCTTCCATCCCTTCTTGCGAAACCCTTCGTGGCTGCATCCTCTGAAGCCCCTGAGAAAACATCCAAAAATGCACCGTAAAGTCCCTGCTGGAGACTGGTGGGAGAGCTCAGCCCTGCGTCTGCAGTTTTCGGCTCAAGCTCCGTACAGCGCACAGGGCTCTCCGAGTCTCCCTGCACTCGACACACTGATGGATCCATGGGTGGTTTTCTGAATGGAAGGGCTTGGAGGCAATTTTTGGGGGCTCGCAGCCATACGCAGCTGCTATCACACGTGGGCATTGTCGTGGTTTTCGCAGTATTGTTCTTGTCATTATCGCAGTTCATCCTGGTGGCGACTCGTCCTCCAACAGCATGTAGAATCTAGAACCACCCATGAAAATCCGTAGGCTTGGCCTGGGCAGCCATCTTTATGTGCTGCCCCGTGCTCCAGAAGATCTTTGCACTGCGGCTTGAGGTCGGGGGTCTCAAGGTCTAATACTTTGTTTGGGTTGACCGAGTCGGTAGGTGCGCAGGACTTTTTGAGGTGTTGGGACGCGTTGAGAATTGCATGATTTGCATGATTGCCTGCTTGCCTGCAGATCTTCTGGAGGCTTCGAATCTATGCCCGGCACCGGGTCACAGCTCAAAAGCAGAGGTTGATTGGAGCGCAGTTGCAAGTCAGCTGTAGCTATGAACAGAATTGGCCGGTGATCCAACAATCAACCCAGTCCAATACAAAATGGTTCAGATAGGGATGCTGGCCCTGAGCACAGGCAGCAAAGTTGGTTGAACAGCATTCCCTCTCGACATTTAGGACCCAATACGCAAGCAGCTCCTACACGTCCTACACCATCTCCGATCTCGAGGGATGCGTCAACCCTGCACAGCGTAAGCCTCTGAAGCACTCCGGCAAATGGACTCAGAGGGCTTTGCGATCACGAGATGCTCTTGCGAGAAGGGTCCGGGTAGAGCCACTTGCTTATGTCAGGCCCTGTGTGGGAAACAGAACTCGTGTCACCCGATCCCTTGCCGCTGGCTCGTGGTCAAGAGGATTGCTGGCATCCAACAAAAGCCAGCCCAAGACGGCTCAAATACGAGGCCTAGAGATCCATTCTACTGCACAGTCATTGAAACCAGAGAGAGAACTTCCAGTTGCGGGGCTCTCAGACGTTCATGGGCTCCAGCTGGAGCATGTAGTCCCCCCCCAGATTCCTGGAGGACAAGGACCTCTTCTGGTACTCCATGTAGACGAACGCTGAGGCAGCCACTGCCACAAGGAGCACGGGAGCAAACAACAGGTGCCTGGAGTTCTCGGGCTCCGCAAGAAAGGCTGCGGGCGCATCCTTGTCTTCCTTGGACTCCTTGGACTCTTCCTTGGACTCCTTCGACTCCTTCTTGGAGCTCTCGTCCTTCGCGTGCTTGGCGTGCGAGCCCTGCGCAATGTGCTTCTTGTCGCCGGCCTCCGCCTTGCCCTGGCCGCCCTGGCCCATGTACTGCTTGTACTGCGACATGTACTTCTCATAGTCGCCCGCGCTGCCCTTCTGGGAGCCCTGGCCCTTCATGTACTGCTGGAAGTCGGACATGTACTTCTGGTAGTCTCCCTGGACGCCCTTGCCCTGGCCTGGCATGCACAAGGTCGTGTTTGGGTTGAAACTTGCATGGCCCCTGGGTTCCCGAGGCTGAAATGGGCCTGCACGCTGACAGGCTTACAAACGACCCATGACCTCTAGGACGTGCCGATCAAGGTAATGTTAAGTTCCCTTGGGGTGTCAAGTTGATGTAGGAGGCCTCCTTTCATGTACTGCTGGAAGTCGGACATGTACTTTTGGTAGTCCCCCTGGGCGCCCTTGCCCATGCCTGCGATAACACACACCGGAGAGGTTCCAAGCATGCTCTCTAGCAGGCTCATGTTGGCTCATATGTGTGTGCCCTGAGCTGCCCAGGGCAGATACTCCCCAAGAGAAATCTACGTTGAACCTACGAGTGCTTCTTGAAGAGTCTGACTGGCCTTGCATGTACTTCTGGAAGTCTGACGCATACTGGGACATAAACTTCTGATAGTCGCCCTGGCTTCCTGTGCAGGAGGTCGACATGGGCGGTTGAAACAAATGTTCAGGGTGAGAGCCTGCGTTCAGTGAAGAGGAAGCTTGTGGTAGGGGCAGGAAATCCCCCTCCTCCAAGAAAGACCAATGTTGACTTTCCTAAGATCACCATAGGCATTCAAACCCCGAATGCCTATATGGAAAAACCCTAAAGCCCAAAGCCCGAAACCTGGCAGCTCACACATTTCTTCTTGCTTCCCACTGTTTCTTTCTTTCTGGGCGTGTTTCGCACTCACCAACCAGCCGGGCTTGGGGGCGAACCAGCTCCAAAAACCTCAACTCACCAACCAAGTGGCAGTTCATCACGGAGGGGCCGGGGCCGGCGATGCAGGAATGGCATGTGGGACCGGATGGAGGGGGGCACGCACGCGAAGGCACGTGCAGAATGCTGTGGCCGCGCATGGCAGCCGCTGTCCTTTTTTCGGCAAGCGTGGCTTGCACGGTGCCTCCCTCTCCTCCCCCCTTTGCAGTTGGGCCCTCTTGAGCTTAAGCATTACATGCTTTGCACAGTTCCAGCGTGCTGCCGCGTCAATACCCGGAAGCACCTGGCAAACAGTACAGCAAGACACTCATCAAACACCTATACCTCTTCGAGTTCGGGTATCCGTGATTTTCCACTTTGCAAAGAGGGACTGAGCCTTTCAGAACTGGCTGCAGACAGTGTCATGAAATTATTAGAAGGGAACGAGGGACCTCCACAAAGACATGTTGACTTGCGTCCCCTCCCTGGCTGCCTCCTTGTCCCTTCATGTACTGCTGAAAGTCGGACATGTACTTCTGGTAGTCCCCGGCGCCACCCTTGCCCTGGCCTTGCATGTATTTCTGGAAATCCGAAGCATACTGGGACATGAACTTCTGGTAGTCGCCCTGGCTGCCTGCACCGGGTTCCAGCATGCTGCAGGACAACGGCAACTTCAGTGCACTGGGGCAATTGAGTTGGTGAAGCATGCTGTCCATGCGGCTGCTGCTGCTACCTCGCTCTCAAACAGGGGAAAGAAAACATCGAGGATGGTGCTTCTGTTCGCGCACTCATGCCTCTGCATTGAAGGGTTCGGATCTCGCACACCCCCACAACTGGCCACCCGTCGATTGTTCCTGACACTCCCCGTTCCTATTTTCTGAACGATTTCTTCACTGTGTCTTTCTTTGCTGCCCTGGGCGTGTTTCGCACTCCACCGACCAAGTGGAAGTTAATCGCGAAGCGCCAGGACCAGCGATGCAGGAAATGACATGTGGGACTGCCGTTCAGTGAGTGAGTGAGTGAGTGAGCGAGCGAGCGAGCGAAATGGCCCATAGATGTTACTGCAGCCTGCACCATCTCCCCCCCCCCCGTATCGCAGAGCAGCTCCGAAAACGTCATCGCCGCTCTCCACGAAGGGTTCAAGATGGCGGGTACTAAATGCAACCAGAGGCTGCGTGTTCTAGCTACAAGACCTGCCGTTCAACTTCCCCAGGACAAAAAGTCAAGGAACCTGCCCAACCAAGCTGATTTGGAATTGAGACTGTGCTGCTTGGCATTACTTCCCAAAGCCCAACGCAACAACAAGCCAGGGAAACCTACCATTCAAAAGTCCACTCGGTCCGTTTCTGAGACATTGGGTTCACTTGGGTTGCATTTGCCTTTACATGAGGCTTTGTGCGCTGGTGTCGTGGCCATGCCCCATCCAAGCAGACTAGCTGTGCGCAGAGGCTCACACATTAGCACATTACACGAGTGCCGCTGCCCAGACACTTGGTAGCACACTGCCTCCTTGCCCCTTCATGTACTGCTGGAAGTCGGACATGTACTTCTGATAGTCCCCGGCGCCACCCTTTCCTTGGCCTTGCATGTACTTCTCGAAATCAGATCCGTACTGGGACATGTACTTCTGGTAGCCCCCCTGGCTGCCTGCACAGTAAGGTCAGGAAATAAAGGTGACATCAAGAGAACGACCAGCAAAGGAAAGGCAAACAGCCACACTAGGTACACCCCGAATGCTGTTTGAAGAACTGTTCCTAAGCATGCAGACACTAAGCTCAGCAGCTCGTTGGATATCCGAATGAGACTAGCGCCACAGTGCAAATGCAGTCGAAAGTTAAAGGCAGCAAGTTTGGGACTTCACTCGGCGTGTAAGAAGACCATGCTCAACACGGAAGACAGGACCAGGTGCTCGCCTCTCTATTCTGTGAGGGGCCAGACAGCCACTGCCATACAACTTCCCAAAGCCCAACACAACAAGTCAGGGAAACCTACCCAACCCAGTTGAGTTGGAATGGAGGCTTGGCCGCTTCGCATTCAAAAATCCCACTCGATCCGTTTCTGAAACATGGGGTTCACTTGGGGCTGTCTTGGCATTAGGCTTTGTGTGCCGGTGTCGTAGCCATTCTCCATCCAAGCAGACTAGCTGTGCGCAGATGCAGACTGCTAACACAGTAGCACATTACACAGGTGCCGCCGCAGATGCAGAATGCTAACACAATAGCACATTGCACAGGTGCCGCGCCACACGCGCACACACACACACACACACATACAATGGGTGGCACACTGCCTCCTTGCCCCTTCATGTACTGCTGGAAGTCGGACATGTACTTCTGATAGTCCCCCGCGCCACCCTTTCCTTGGCCTTGCATGTACTTCTCGAAATCAGACCCGTACTGAGACATGTACTTCTGGTAGCCCCCCTGGCTGCCTGCACAGAAGATCAGGAAACTAGAGGTGACAGAGAACGACCAGCAAAGGAAAGGCCAACAGCAACACCAAAAACACCTCGAATGTTTTTTGCCCAACCGTTGCTAAGCATGCAGACACTAAGCTCAGCAGCTCGCTGGATATCCGAATGAGACTAGCGCCACAGCGCAAGTGCAGTCGCAAGTTAAAGGCAGCAAGTTTGGGACTTCACTCGGCGTGTAAAGAAGACCATGCTCAACACGGAAGACAGGACCAGGTTCTCGCCTCTCTCTTCTGTGAGATTTGGGCTGCCGGCCAGACAGCCACTGCCATGCAACTTCCCAAAGCCCAACGCAACAAGTCAGGGAAACCTACCCAACCAAGGTGAGTTGGTGCTTGGCTGCTTGGCATGCAAAAGTCCCACTCGATCTGTTTCTGAGTCATGGGGTTCACTTGGGGTTGCATTTGCCTCTACATGAGGCTTTGCGCGCCGGTGTCGTAGCCATTATCCATCCAAGCAGACTAGCTGTGCGCAGATGCAAGATGCTAACACATTAACACGTTCCACGGGTCACCACACACACACACTGGGTGGCACACTGCCTCCCTGCCCCTTCATGTACTGCTGGAAGTCGGACATGTACTTCTGGTAGTCCCCCGCGCCACCCTTTCCTTGGCCTTGCATGTACTTCTCGAAATCAGACCCGTACTGGGACATGTACTTCTGGTAGTCCCCTGCGCCACCCTTTCCTTGGCCTTGCATGTACTTCTTGAAATCGGACCCGTACTGGGACATGTACTTCTGGTAGTCCCCTGCGCCACCCTTTCCTTGGCCTTGCATGTACTTCTTGAAATCGGACCCGTACTGGGACATGTACTTCTGGTAGTCCCCTGCGCCACCCTTTCCTTGGCCTTGCATGTACTTCTTGAAATCGGACCCGTACTGGGACATGTACTTCTGGTAGTCCCCCGCGCCACCCTTTCCTTGGCCTTGCATGTACTTCTCGAAATCAGACCCATACTGGGACATGTACTTCTGGTAGCCCCCCTGGCTGCCTGCACAGAAGGCCAGGAAACAAAGGTGACATCAAGAGAACGACCAGCGAAAGAAAGGCAAACAGCCACACTACGACCACCGTCCGCATGTAAATGTGACTTCCTTGTTGTCCGAGTCGTTTTGTTTCTTAGTTTTCGAGCTTTTCGAAAACCCTCCTGACTCCTTCGAGGCTGATGCCCATACCCATTGGGCTGCAGCAAAACTGTTTCGGGTCCCATGCAGTGTTGCATTTTTGCATTCTTCAGATGTGCCAAGTGGTTGAATCGTAAGCGGGGTCTTCCTCATGATCTTCTTTCAGGGTGGAGAAGATAACGGGCGAACTGGAACTTAAGACTTGGATTCCTGAAGACCAGCAAGCAGTCGAAGGATGGGAACCAGAAAAGCAAGGTAGAACGCGGGCTGGTGCGCCCTGCGTTCTTTGGCTTGCGCTGGAGTGTACTCAAGTTCAAAAGAGCCACAAACCTAGGTTTTAGAGCAATTCCGGTTTTGAGAACCACGAAGACACAGCACAAATCACTCGAAGGGCGAGCGTTTTTTAGTGTTTCTGAGTGTTTGGCCGAGGCGGGAGCCTTGATTTGCAACGCAGGAAAACAAAAGAAACTTGTGTTGACGACTTCTTCTTTTTTAAGGGTATTTGTTGGGGCTTGCATGTGTCGGGCCCCAAACCTCAAACCTGCTACGGGAGCACGACTAAAGCCGGAAAAGCTTCTCACACATTCAAGGCCAAGGAACGTAGCTAACCCCCCCCCCACCCCACCCCGCACAATAACGCACGGGCAGGTACGTGCGGTGGACCGCCTACTTGGGCACTGTGCTTGACATACAAGTGGGTGGTGAATCCAAGACGTGTTTAACTTCGTACAAGTGGGTGGTGAGTCAAGAGTCTAGGCTCCAACCTACTTGGGAACTGTGCTTGACATACAAGTGGGTGGTGAGTCGAAGACGTGTGTAACTTCGTGACGAAGAACACTGACCCGAAACCCTTCGCAAGATGGATGCTACCCAGCTACCCAACATGGATGCTACCAAGAATGGATGTTCCCAACCCCCCCCCCCCCCCCCCCCCCCCAAAAAAAAAATATATATATACATATATATATATATATATAGAATGAGAAACGCAGGGCGCACCAGACTGCGTGCAACCAAAAACAACCACAGGATGGCAGATTGTCACGCGCCTCCTTGTCCCTGGCCTTGCATGTACTTGTCGAAATCCGCCGAGTACATGGACATGTATTTCTGGTACTTGCCGCCTTGTCCCTTCATGTACTGCTGGAAGTCCGACATGTACTTCTGGTAGTCGCCCTGGCCGCCCTTGCCCTGGCCTTGCATGTACTTCTGGAAATCCTGTGCGTACTGCGCCATAAACTTCTGATAGTCTCCGTTGCCTGCAGGAATGCCCACAATGCATGCGTCAGTTTGTCAGCAGAGTTGGCCGGGCAAGCTGAGCAGGAAAGAAGGGGGGCAAGCGACCAAAGGGGCCGCAACAAAGCTTGACCCTGCACCTGGCAATCTGCTATCTGCATTGTGTGGGAGGGACACAGTCGAGTTGGGCGGGCAAGCTGAGCAGGAAAGAAGGGGGGCAAGCGACCAAAGGGGCCGCAACAAAGCTTGACCCTGCACCTGGCAATCTGCTATCTGCATTGCGTGGGAGGGACTGGGTCCGAAGCCCTCATGACAGCTCTCGAGGGCATGCAACAATCGCTGCCGCTGCCTTGGCCCTGCATGTACTTCTGGAAGCCGGACATGTACTGCTGGTAGCCACCACTGCCACCACTACCACCCTGGCCGCCCATGTACTTCTGGTAATCGGCCATGTACTTCTGGTAGTCACCTGGCGAACTTCATGGTGAGTCAAACGGTGATTCAAGTGGCAGAACAGCCCCAGCCTTCTGAAGCCTGCACAAACCACAAAATCTGAGAACTGCCTAAACCCTATAAACCCTAAAAACCCTAAAAACCCTAAAAACCCTAAAAACCCTAAAAACCCTAAACCCTAAACCCTTGGGTTCAAGGGCTCTCACCTTGGGCACCCTGGCCGCGGGTGTTCATGTATTGCAAGTACTGCAGGAACCCCGCCATGTACTGGGCCATGTACATCTCGTAGTCCCCCTGGTTCTTCTGGAACTGAGAGGAGTACTTCCTAGGGTTTTGCTCAAAACGACGCTTCCCCGAAAATTTATATCTCTCGTGCACAAATCAAGAGTAGACACATCACACTATCACACGTGTCAAGAACTTGGGAACTCAGTCGGAGCTTCTGGTAGTTGCCCATGGCGCCGCCCTGGGGGGCAGAGCTCTCGGCGTCGGCCTTGTGTTCGCTGCTCTTGTGAGCCGGGGCTTTGGAGTCGTCGCTGGCGGCGAAACTCACCGGCGAGGACTCTTTGTGTGCCTGGCCCTGAGACGGCACATAGTCGCTGGCGTAGTTGCCTGCATAGTTGCCCGCGTAGTTGCCTGCATAGTCGCTGATGTACCTTGACTGCGAAGCAGCATGGACCGACCAACAGCCAAGAAAGCTACATCTCACGCTCGTCAGGTTCGAGGGAACAGGCTAGCGGCAAATGTGGCTAACAGAACCGGCAGACGTGGAAGCTAGAAGGCACACTGAGAAAACGAAGGCCCGTCTGCTTAGGCGACGAAGACTTTGGGTTTGGGGCTCGACAAACCGACTAGACTCTTGAACCTTGAACTAGAATGGCACTCACAGCATTCATGACATGAAACCCCACAACCAACGAGACTCTTTGTTTAGTTGGTGAGTGGGGACGAGGGCTCAGGGTCTGAAGAAGCTTAATTTCCAAACGTGAGGGTTCATACCATCATACTTAAGAACAACAATAAGAAGAACAGCAACAGCAAGAGCAATAAGAGCAACAATCGTAGTAAGAAGAACAAGAACAAGAACAACTGTTCACAGCTCAAGCGGCCTCAGGCCTCAAAAGTCTCCTACCCTTTGCAAAATCTCCGAAACCGCTCAGGCGCTGGTGGAAGTCTCCATACTTTGAGATATAGTTCCCATAGTCGCCAGCGCCCGTGGCTATGGCCGCGGGAAGCAAAAGGAGAACCACAGCTGACCGCATGGCCTTGGGACTTGGGTTGGTTTCCCTTAATACAGCTGACCCCAGGGAGAAGCGCAGGGCAACAAACAAGGACAAAAAACTGCTTTGGGCGACCACTCTAGGGGCTATGCCGAGCCTAGGGGCAGGAAATCTCAGCCCCCCTGAACACACACATCTAACCAACATGCGATGGAAAGATCGACTCATCAAACAAAAAGCGCTCATGGAGCCCGAAGGCTTTCTCCTGGGCTCATTGATTAGGGTTTCAAGGCTTAAGTAGCAACATCTGCGAGAAACAGAAAGAAATGAGAGACAGAGAGACAGAGACAGAGAGGGAAAGTCACCGGAGCCAAAAGAAGGGCGGGGAGGGAAAGAGGAGGTTGCTGCACTGTGCTGAGCCTGAGCCCCCGGCGTGTACGAGATGGAGGTCCCAAAGCTATCACTACGGGCAATCCCTGATGTGTTGAGCATCGCATCATGGCGGAGCAGTGGAACAATCAGCTTCTTGGGCAAGCACGTGCTTTAGCAGCAAAAGCCTTCGCGTCCCGCATGTGATTCATTCTGGGACATGTTGGGGCCCGCGCTGCAATTCAGATATGCAAACGTGATATATTCTTCGGGGCCCGTGCTGCACCGTGCTGCAATTCAGATATGCAAACCCACTTGGTGGAACTACTTGCCGCTGCTCCACGAAGAATCTGGCCTGCGCAACCTGCTGCAAGGCTTGCGCCTCTCAGTAGGACAACCAGACAGCGATGATCCACTTGGATTCCCTTACACCCGGTGAAGGCCATGCCATGCACTGAAAGCACCACAGCACAGCACACAAGGTGAGCCCGTGGAGCGCAGGCAGCGCATGGGAGTGCGGCAGGGAATCCAAACTTGAAGCGCGCGCACACACACACACACACGTCATATTCAGCTATTGCACGCAGGACACGCATAGCCCGCACATTGCTCAACCAACCATGCGGAGGCAGGAACAAGCCAGGCCGTGTCAGCTGGCCTGTTGCGCGTACAGCTGCTGGTAGGCAGCGGGATCATAGCCTTTGGCGAGTCCACTCCGTGCGATACTCAGCCCTAGCAGACATTGCAACTAATATGTGTGGATGCTCCAAATAGGCTTGTTGCTATCCGCACTCAAAGAAACCCCCCGAGCTGACCACACCAAAACCTTAGGCAGCAGCCGATATGAGGACTAGACTGACTAGACCGACACCTTCTGCAGGCATTTGTTCGTGACTGCCTTGACGAACTTAACAAAGAGTCCTTCCCATTGAACATAATATGATCAACAAAGACAGACAGAAAGACAGACAGAGTCCATTCTTGAATTGGTTCCCTGACCAGCCCTGAGCCCCTTGGGGCCGGAGCCCATCATCGCGCTAAGCCGAACTCCCCTGCACCTGCAAGGCAACTTGGGGCGGTGACTTGGGGCTAGGACTTGGGAGCTTAGGGGGTTGGGGGCGTGCTGGATGCAGCTTGGTTTAGACGTTTCTCCCGTGTAGTCTCCCCCGCTTCAGCCGAACCTCGACATTTGAACACGCTGGAGGGCTCAGGGCATGGAGCGTTTTCAATCCAGGGGGAGGTCCGCATGCAGCCCCCACACGGTTCCCTGCAGCACCTTCGTGGCTGGTGGAGTCGGCGTCACTAAAGTCTAATATATAATACCGCCTGTTTTTCAGGCTGCGTCAGCATCTGAGCCGGAATGCAGCAAGCCGGGGATGTTGGGAGTTGGATCTTGCCCATGCCTTCCACAACACAGCAAAGCCCCCACGATTTGAAAGTTGAAAGACGCACACCGAGCACTCAGCTGGAACGTGCACCCATCATTTGCACACCTCGGCTTGGGCATCACAAACTTAAACTTATGCAAAGTATACATGCCCAGCTGCTGAAGGACTATGGTCCAGCAGGAGCAGGGAGCGCACCAAGGCACACAGCACTGCCAGAGCAGACACCCTGGTCCGGCGATGCCGGCAGAATGGATGGAACCCTGCACCAGCCAAGCCTCTGTGCCGAGCTCGCTCGGCAAAACCCCCGGACGGACGGACGGACGGACGGACGGACGGACGGACGGACACACACACACACACACACACACACACACACACACACACACACACACGGACGGAGACAGAGAGGCTGCTTACCTAATGCTGTTGCCGTTTTGCATTGCCGCACATTCTGGGCTGTCGCGCAGAAGCGCAAACCATGCCAAGTCGTCTCAATGGCCTTGCACACACTTAAACCCTAAAGCCTAAACTCAAGCCTCAATTTCAAGCCGGAAACCCTCAAAACCGAAACACAACACCATCATTTTTTCTGGGATCCTTGAATCCTAACTGGGCGCTCATAATCCTTGCCTGTATGGTTTGGGAATGCCACCATTTTGCTTCTGCGCTGTCTGACATCATGACCCAGGAGAAGGCGCATCATTGGTTCTAAAGCTGCAAGTCTTGAACATCCATAGCTTGCCTTCATTGTTCGTCACAAGGACCCGATAGAACCAGGTCGTTCCAGGATTCAGTCCTGTGATCGTGATGCTGTTGCTGCCGTCTTGCAGGTGAGCAATCGAGAACCGCTTCGACCAACAACGACCTTCAGCCTGCAGGGATCTGCTTACAGACGACCCGCGTTCTGTCGCATGAAGCTCGCGCGGAGCAAAAGTAAGACAATCCTCCTGTCCGTAATGGACATCGGCTCGGGCGTTGTTGCCGGCACGCTTCATGAAAATGTCGAGGCTGACTGTACTTGCCGTCACCTCAACCATACCGACCTCACCAAACTCCGCGGGCAACCATTCAAGTTGTTTGGTCGCTTCCGGGCTGAGATACTCTGGTAGAGCCACTGTCTGTGCACGCGGCGGGCTTTTGAAGGCGTAGTGCCGCATGCCACCTGTTCGCATAACGAACTCACCATCACTGCTCACAAACCAGGACTTGTTCACCGTGCTGTCACCTTTGCACAGAAAGCAATCCATCGGTACCCAACATGACGACTCATCACGGAACCACCCGCGGCGACGGACTTCTCGAGGTACATCACCAGTACGCTGAACATGGGGTGGACCTGGAATTTCGCAGAAGGAGCCGGGCGACAGGTGCTTCATAAACTTGCCGTCGCCCCATTTGCGGCCCACAGCATAGAGCACCCACTGCCTCCTGGGATGATCCCAGAAGTAGCCGTAGTAGGTATGGTAGGGCTCGTCGTTCTCCACGCGCAGCGCTTGCACGCAGACTTCGGGGCGATCCGGCATTGGCGTCCACCCACGGAGCTTCACTCCCGAGCCCTCGTGCCCAAAGCCGCTGAAGTCCGCCTTGGGCGAGCCCGCAGCCAACAAGTGCGGCATCTGCTCCAAAGGAGGAGGCTCCTCCCCGCGGCCAGCGGCCCACATTGAGAAGTTGAATTCTCCCGCCGAGCGCCCGTCAGCTTCGAAGCCAGTCCCGAAGTAACCAAACGGCGTTGTGATCGGTGAATAGCTGCTGGATTTCGTCGTGCTCCGAGTGGTCATGACCCACATGCGGCTCTGTTCGGTCCTAGATGAAGCATATCTACCATGGACTGCGGCGGGTCGCCAACGTGCGCGCAATAACTGTGAGTTCTGCAAAGCAGGTCCGTACGCATCGATGCGATGTAGTTCGCCCACTCCAACCTTTAAGTTGGCAATGCTCGATGCCATCATCTCGAACGTGTGCTCACCAGTTTCTTGGACGTCAAACGCCAAACTCCATGGCTGCGCCTGCTCGGGATGGGAGATGGAGGTTTCCACTTCGCGCGTGATACCAGCGAATGAAACATTCAGCTTCGAGCCCGACTCGTTCTCGGCCACTTTCAGATGTACATTGAATCGAGCCTGCCCCGGCTTGTCCAGAAAGACATGCCATCGAATCGTTCCGTTGTTACTCCACTTTGAGAGGATGGCATAGTTCGGGACGATGAGCCCTTCGTCACCCGTCTTCGGCAATGAGGACTCCCCTGAGGCCTGACAAACACCCGGCGTGAAGAAACCGTTGCTCGCTGTGAGGATCAGCTTGCCATTTTCCGCCAGTTGCCCGTTCAAGTAATACTCCCGACCATCGTCGTCGACACCACCCGGAAAAAGCGCCGGCGCTGAGTCCAGCTGCCCGACGCCATCAGGAACCTTCAACGGTTCTTCCGCAAAGGTGTGCATGAAAAGCCTGTCCTTCTTGTTTACCTTTTCGGGAACTCAGCATGGACATACATGAAGTCACGATGATTTGTTCTGAGCTGCTGCGAAGGGCGTCTGTTGATGAATGTTCGGTTCTTTCGCACTTTGAATTGTGTATGGATGGACATGTTATGCAAGTAAGAAGCGCAAGCCCCTAAAACAAACGTTCTTTGGAACAACGCACCTTGTAAGCCCCACTGGGCACCTTGTAAGCCCCACTGGTAACCATGGAGTTCAACCCCAACTTTCTTGTTGCACCTGGACTGCATTGAAAACAGCGCAAGAAAACAAGCAGTCCCTTTTCTCCCACACATGGTTTTTGAACGCAAGTCTTGGAATTCCAGGTAGTCCGCAGTCCCTTTTGCATTCAGGACATGTGACGTGCAAAACCCTGCTGCACGAAAGCTCGGATTTCATGGTCTTGTTCAACACCAGTCCAGGGACTAGTTTTGTTCAACGCAAATCCAGGGACTAGCTTGGACTTGGCGAATTCCTTGTGTCGTTGTTCCCCACCTTCGGTGTGAGGTTGTTAAATCTTACACTAAACTCTTCTTGGGGCGCAACCATGGAACCCTCTACCCCCCAAACGCTCACTAAACTCTTCTCCTCGCCCGGAACTCTTCTCCTCGCCCGGTCTACTCCTAGAAACTCCCTGGTGTGCCCAACCCCAGAGACTTCTGAAGTGGTGTGAACCCCAAAGACTCCCTGGAACGCCCAACCCCGCCCAGAAACTCCATGGAGTGCCCAACCCCAGAGACTCCTTCCAATGCCCAACCCCAAAAACTCCCTGGAGCGCCCAACCCTAGAAACTCCCTGACGCGCCCAACCC